ACCTTGTTATTTACTAACACTGAAGTCGGCAAACTACCGGTGATTTTTTATTTTGTAATTTTCATTTTTATTTAAAGCATAATTTATCAGGTGTACAACTTTGCTTCCGCCGTTTTTTTCCAAAATTAAAAGCTTTATCGCGAAAAAGTGCTTACAGATATATTTTTCAAAGTATTGCCCTTCGCTAGCGACAACTTTCCCCCATCTTTCCGGCTCGAAAAAAGGAGTCCTCTTTAGACGCTATCCATGAAGCAATCCATTTTTCCAATTCTTCAAAGGATTGAAAATGTTGATCTGCCAGGCCGTGTGCCATCGAACGGAATAGGTGGAAGTCAGAAGGTACCTTTTGACCACTTTTGCTCGATGTCTCTCGGTTTCAACTCGTACCACACCCAGTTTCCTTCTTTCTGAATCATGCCAAGCCCTTGAGACGTTTTGAAATGGCTTGCTGACTCACTCCCAACGATTCGGTAAGCTGTTCTTGGGTTTGGCACGAATCTTTATCAAGCAATGCTTCTAGTTGTTCATCTTTGAAGGTTTTTTCTCTTCCACCACCATGTTTGTCTTAGACATCGAAATCACCATTTTTAAAACGTTGAAACCACTCCCGACACGTTCTTTCACTCAGAGCAGCATCACCGTAAGTTTCTGAGAGCATTTGATGGGCTTCAGCTACATTTTTTTCGAATTGTAACAGAAAAGTAACATAAACGGACATTTTCGAGCGTGAATAATACGAAAACAAGAACAACTGTCACTGAAACGGCGATGACAATTCGTTAGGCACTGTCCACACTCACTTTAAAGGCATTATCATCCATGTATTTCAACCAGCCTCAGCCGGTACAGCCACCTATCGGAAAACGGCGGAAGCAAAGTTGTACACCTGAATTTATATAATTATATAATTCATTATTTTATTTCTAAAAGATTCTCAATATACATATATATACCTCTATATATATATGATTCCCCTTTTTTTATTGTTAACCTTAGAGAATTTATTTCAATAAATCTTTCTTACTTTTAAAAAATTTTAATTAATTTTTGTTTTTATTTCTTTCTGTGGAAAACGCTGAGATAAATCGGCGTTCGTGAAAGTTTATATAATATTGGTCCAGTAAAAAGTTCGTTAGGTTTTTTTATGCGCCGTTTTGTTCGCAAACTTGTTGCCAACAAGATGCCATTTCATTATACCCCTCTCGTAGAAGGCTGCGTCCTTATAGGCAAAAAACTTGGAGAGCCAATTTTCACAGGCCTCTCTTGAGGCCAACTTCTCACCATTAAGCGCGTTCGCCATGGACAGGAAAAAATTGTAATAATTTGGTACCAAATCTGGGCTATAAGGTGGGTGTATTAGGACCTCCCATCCGAGCTCCTGGATGTTCTGGCGCGTCACCAAAGGCGTATGTGGCCTGGCGTTTTCCTGATGGAACACAATTCCGTTGATCAAAGATGGCCTCTTCTGGATGAGGGCTGTCTGGTAAGCTTCACCGAGCTTTAACCACGACCGTTTGTGCTCGATGTTGTCGTAAGTGACCCATTTTTCATCATTTTTCATCGCGCTCCACAATCCGCTTCAGAAACGGGTCGATTTTGTTGCGATTCAGCAGTGATTCACAAGTGGATATTCGGTCCATCATGTTTTTTTTTTGCGTTAGTTCGTGTGGCATCCAAACATCGAGCTTCTTTTTGTATCCAGGGTTATGCAAATGGTTCCAAACGGTTTTCTCGCTTATCTTTAGTTCCTCAGCAATTGAATAAGTGCTCTGGTGACTGTCTGTTTCCACTATTTCCATGATTTTATCGCAATTCTAGACGACAGGCCTCCCGACGCGTGGTGCATCTTTGATATCGAAATTACCGGAACAAAGTCTAGCAAACTAATTTTGTGCTACACGTTCGTTTACAGTATCGGGTCTATAAACTAAATTAATTTTTTCAGCCGCTTTGTCTGCTTTTTCGCCTTGATCGAAGAAAAATTGTAAAATATAGCGAATTTTCTCTTTGTTGGTGTCCGACTTTGATGAGCGCTCACAACGTACTGAGTCAATCAATCGAAAATCTGTCAAAGACAAACTTTTAGCGGCGTATAGTATGACATGATACGACATGCAACACTAGTAATATGGACAATAACGCCATCTCTTAGATAAAAACCGAACGAACTTTTTACTTAATCTAATATTTTCATATAAACACATTGTTTGAGAAAACTCTGGTAGCACTTCTTTTTTTTTTTTGACCATTTCAACTTGTGAATATACATTTGCCAGTTGGTGAAGTAAAAAAGAAGAATATTCATAAAGAATTTAATCCAATTATGAATAATATGCCAGGACGACAAAAAAAGTAAAATGCAAATGCTCTCCTCTAATTTAATAGCGTATTTTTTTCCCACGAAAAATTCTTAAAATGCGCCTTTTTTCACTTTTTTCTTAATTTTCAATGAGTTGTAGATGTAAAATATGCCTACAGGTTTTAGATTTTGTTAATTCTCAAGCTAACAATACAAAATCAAATGGCAGATTGTTTGCTACCTCCTATTTCGAGGGTAACAAAACTATGTCTTCGTGTAAGTGAACTGAGAATACGAAATAGTTACAAAATTTACTGAATGGTCAATTTGAATACCAAAGTAAATTTCATAACCTCGATAGAATATGCCGGTAAGTGAATTATTTTGTTACTCATCGTCATCATTTTGCTAACTTTAATAAATCTTTCCGAAAAACGTTCTTTATACCGTGCATAGATAACTTGTTAAATTGTTTCGATCATTTTAAGTACTCCGAGGAATACTGAAAGTCGTGAGTGTTGATCGGTATTGATTACCTCTAGATATAATATTTTGCTGTACCATCGGTACACCTTAACAGTCCCACTGTCACGACGAAAAGGCCAGCAATACCTAATAAAGAAAACTTTAACAGAAACTTTAACAATAGTTCTACATAATTGTACTTCATAAGTTCCTCTTCTTAAATTGTGGGAAGTTTTAGAAAATTTAATTTTTAACATTCGTTGTTGTCTATATTAATATATTAATATTGCATAGTACATAATACACTACTAAGAGCTCTATGTACGAATGTAAACTGTATTACTGTGGTTACGTTCAAAATTCGTTATTAATAAATGTCTTTAACTTCCTGTCAGTATCACCCTGTAGCAATACAAGGTAAAGTGGAAATGCTGCATACTTTTTGGCGTTTAAATAAGCGAGTAGATTTTTAATGTGCATATTAAACAACCCTCTTCGTGTTAAGACTTAAATGAAAGTCAAATGAATTCACACACACACAATTGGTTTAATCAATAAAACTGCCGAAAAATAAAATAAAATAAAAACATCGTTTTATAATGGACTTAATAGACGCTCAAAAACGTAACGTAACTGTGAATTTTGAGCGCTACCGTGAGTTGATATTAAACTTTTTTTTTGCACAAAATGCAAGAGCTTGACTTGCATAACATGTGGTTTCAACCAGACGGTGCCACATGCCACATAGCACGCGTAACAATGGACTTATTGAGAGGCGAGTTCAGTAAACAGTTTATTTCGCATTCGGGACCGATTAGTTGGCGGCCTAGTTTGTGCGATTTAACGCCTTTAGAATATTTTTTGTGGGGCTATATTAAATCTAAGGTCTATGCAGAGAACCCCGCTTCGATTGACGTATTGGAGGACAACATTGAAGCATTTTTTCGTGAGATTTTTGCCGAAATGTTGGAAAGAGTGTGCCAAAATTGAGCTAAGTGGCTGGGCCATTTGAGACACAATCAGGGTGAACATTTGCATGGAATAATCTTCAAACATTAAATTATATGGACCGTACCGTGATTCAAATAAAGATTTCTTGAATTTTTATGAATTTTATTTGTTTTTTTTTTTTTTGGAAAGCTTTCCTATAGCTTTAAAAAAAATCTCTCTTTATTTTCATTACTTCATTACGGGAACAGATTGTCGAAAATTAGTATGTTTTAGATACAAGCATAGATCTTGAGAAGATTTATGCGCCTCGCAATGTTTTTATTCTGCGGCTGCTAATTAAAGCTATTCTTACGCGTTCAACTTGGGTGTGAATGAGCATAGATCCTCATGGTGGGTTTGACATACCTCGAGACATTCAGATGGAAATTTTCGTTGAAAATTTGGACTTGCAAATAAGTAGTTAGATCAATAAAATGTAAAAAAAATATATTTCAACTTACATGATGCTCATTTTCGATTCTTATTGTTCTTTGCAATATTATTAAGAACAAAAGTTAGATGAAATATAGTATAGTACAGTATGAAAATACTTTTGTTCACCAATTCTGATTAAAATATTTCAAAAACTGAAAAAACCGTGAAGAAACAGACAGACAAACGGTCATGGTTGGATCACCGTTACTCGTTATTTTGAACCTGGACCAATGGGTATCAATTTTGGTAGGCTTATATCTTTTGTTTCTGGCGTAACATGCCTTGGACAAAGTACACGGAAGACAAAGACATGTTTAAACTGTAGACAGACATAGTCAGGTTAGGAAACTTAGATAAAACTAGAAGTCATAGTAAAGTACAGGGTTAAATTAGAATTGGTTGGCTGGCTTCCCATGACTCGAAGATATTGACAGTTCCTTTATGTTATTATCTTTCGATTCATGTCAATGTTTCTATATGTCATGAGGATAAAATTTTGTTTATGTCCGTCACCCCACTGGAAGAGGAGCTGAAAAGCTCGCATGCCATAACTTCGACCGACTCCACAAAAGTCAGCGCCTTAACAACATATCGCTCCGCCTCTCTAAATTCTCTAATTACTGGACATTAAACTGACCACACCTCCACCTATGTTTCCAGACTACGCTGGAAGTTTTACAGATCTTTTGTGTAAAAACGATATTTTTCTATAAAAATTAATAATTTTATTTACATAATTATTTGTACATATACGTATATATTATTATAAAATATTTTAAAAAGTTATTAAAAACGAAAAATTACTGTCTTAAGCAAATAGATTATAAATAAAAATTATTACGTATACTAGAAATTGTAAAATTCACAACAGCGCCAACGGCAGCACCAAAACTACCACTGCCATTTATTGTAGTGAGGCCAAAACGCCCAATAAACACGCCCACCCTCAAACATTGATGACAAGTGACGGGCGAAATCGCCGCTTACTCGAGCTCACAATGGGCGGTGGATGTTTCGGCGACTTAGGTGAACGCTTCAATTCGGCACCCTTTGGACGTCGACGAGCGCGATTCGATTTGAATGTTAAATTATCATCGAAACTTGGACGATAAATTGGTGGTGGCTGTGGATCGATGGGCAACTCCTCATACTCGCCCTCATCGTAGTGATGTTCGGTATCTTTCGATTTCATCAAGTGTTGGAATTTCGGATTATTCAGCAACTGCAGTTTGAGTGCTTCATCCAAGAGCTTCTGTTGATCTTCCAAATATTTTTCAATCTGTTTTTGTGATGCAACACCCTTAAAGCGTTCACGAAGCTGCGCCTTAGCTCTGCTTGAACTCGATGGATGTACATCGAATTCTTCCTGTTCAGGCTCATAGACATTGTAATTAAGGCTGGGTGTCGGTGAGACGGCCGATAGGGTGGGTTTGGGTGGTGCGACCACATGGAAGGGGTCCGGCTCGTAGAATTGTGTATACTTATGATGATGTATGTGCTTCTTCGATGGTGGCAATTTCGCATCGTGCGCTTCCGTAGAGAGATTCACATCCGCATAGGTAGTGCTCTTGAAATGATTCGGTAAGTGTGTGCTGTACTTGGGATGTGAGGATGTGGATTTCTTTGGTACTGTTATCGGATGTTGTACACGTATTTGTGTGCCTATTGTATATTCGCGACTATCATTCTCTTTCGAATTAAAATTGTGCGCTTCATTTGAAAACTCGCTCGAACCATAGCGCTCGCTGGAGTTATCTTCCTCTTCCTGTTGAGTGGAAAAGTCACAAATAAAATGTGTACGAGTCATAGAAAATGAAGTGTTTCTTACCGAAGCTACATGACGATATGAGTGTTTCTTTGCATATTTCTTCGACGATTCCTTACGCTTACTCTCTTCCGTGTGCAGATCGCTGCTGGAGTAGGAGAGTGGCATGAACTCATGACTGCCGGGGTGAGAGGTGAAGTAGTGTGTGGGCGATGAGGAAATCGGGCTGTAATAGGTACGTCGGTAAAATGAACTTTGCGCTCGCACGTTTATGCCCAACCATAAGAGGCTGAAATACAGTAGCTGCAATGATATAAAAAAAAGAAAAGATGTAAATGAGAAAAATTACATAAAAAAACTCCGCATAAAATTGGCTCTAATTAAGATGAATACAGAGTAATGAAACTGATGGTTATCATAAAAACTGAAAGTCAGTTATGTGAGGCCTCGGCCATTTGATGCTCCATTATTACTTTATTTTCTCAAATATGGAAATGTACGCTGTTGTATTTGTTTCTGAACAATGATCAGTTGATGTATGGTTCAATAGACGACCTTGCAACCGCATAAATAAATCATTGTCAATGTCTTTGCCGTTCATTCACGCTTAATAAACTTAATATCCATATGTAACTGCTGCTTGTAATTATGGCCTCAACGGTGAAGCTATGCACGGTTTTGAGCTTATTAGCTATTTATGATTAATTATAGATTTTCGCCTCATTTAAATCTTTTTTAATATGCAAAACTATCTATTGTTTCAAATTACAAATATTTATTTTTACACGTATACATGATATTTAAAGGGTGATTTTTTAAGAGCTAATCTAAACTTCAGTAAAATGCATGAAATATTTATTTGAATCCATATAACTGAATATTTAAAGAGTATTCCATGCAAATGTTGACCCTGATCTGGCCTCAAATGGCCCAGCCACTTAGCTCAATTTTGGCATACTCTTTCCAACATTTCGGCAAAAATCTCACGAAAAAATGCTTCAATGTTATCCTCTTGTCCTCCAATGTGTCAATTGAAGCGGGCTTGTCTGTATAGTCATTCGATTTAACCTAAATAGCCCCACAAAAAATAGTCTAAAGGCGTTAAATCGCACCAACTAGGCCGCCAACTAACCGGTCCCGAATACGAAATAAACTGTTTACCGAACTCGCCTCTCACTAAGTCCATTGTTACGCGTGCTGTGTGGCATGTGGCACCGTCTTGTTGAAACCACATGTCTTGCAAGTCAAGCTCTTGCATTTTGTGCAAAAAAAAGTTTGATATCAACTCACGGTAGCGCTCAACATTCACAGTTACCTCACGATTCGCATCATCTTTGAAGAAGTACGGTCCAGTGATGCCACCAGCCTATAAACCGCACCAAACTGTGACTTTTTCTGGATGCATTGGTAGCTCTTTCAATGCTTTTGGCTAGTCTTCACTCCAAAATTGACAATTCTGCTCCAATAAGCCAAAAATGAGCTTCGCCGTTGAACCACATTTTTTTTTGTTGAGCTTACTTAACAGAGCACGCTTTTTGATGATAAAATTCAATAATTTGCAAAACGAATTACAGACCAAACGGCGAATAGACCAATAGAAGGCCTTGAAAAGCTTTCATATTCAATAAACTCACGTGGTTTTCAAGTAAGAATTATATAATTTAATGATATGTCCACAAATTTAAGTTATTATAAATAGGTAAAGGTTCGCCATAATGTTCAGAAATGATTACGAGCAATATAATGTGCTCACCAAAAGTTTCCTTTAATTTATTGATTGTTTCGTTTGCTTGTATGGCAGGTAGAGCTCCAATTCGGGCACGAAAAATTTCTTAATCATGACGTTCCCCTTTGAATATAACCTCGTTTGGACAAATGATTCCTACTGCCAAGAGCACAACAAACAGTCACAACAATGGCTTTTGATTATCATCACACTAAATGCGACGCGTTTGTTGATTAATGCACTCATTCAGTCAATAGTGAGCTTAATCGCTGAATAAAATTTTCTTATGAAAATCGGGATCGATAGCGTTCTCGTTTTGGGTCACTTCACCGAACATATAATATAACGCGCTTAATGAGTGAGCGGTTTCAATTCTTATACATGTTGGATTTTGTAGGCTCACAAACCAAGATGCTGCCGCAAAATCTCAACTCATTGGAATTGCTTTCGTAGCTCTGCTCCACGGCAGCATTTGCGTCTGCTGTGTGTATGGAAGTAGATATTGGACGCAGCGCGCTGTGGGTCGCACGAACCGAAACATTATTTTGGTAATAAATTTGCACGATATGCAAACGTTGTGCCAGAGTAAGTCTGTTCATTATGAAATGGCAAACCATATTGAGTATAAAAACAGTAACAGCAAATATACAGTTATATACTCAGTTTGTGAATCAAATATTTTCAGCGCATGTATCGGAATGGTTCGGTATCGGACTAAGTAAATCATATGAGTGCTAGTCCAGTGCGTTTAGAAAAAAAAAGATTGCTGCTGTAGCTCTAAGTATGCTCGAACATTCATCAACCACAATTCGACCCCGTCGTTTGCAGGAATTGAACTTTCGAGCACTTCTTTACGTATAATGTCTATTGGTCTTAGCATGAAGGTTTATATAAGAACTGTAGCCTCATAACAATCTGATGCAATCTGACCTCGTTCAAAGGGGTCAAGTTCGCTTGCTTGGCAGAAGATGAGAACATTTACGATTAAGTTCGATTAAGCTCATTTTCACCTCGACGGCTTTATTAACAAATAAAACTGCCTCATTTTAGCATCAGGAGAACCATATGTTATCATGAGAAATCCAAAATATTCTCAAGGATCCTCTATTTATTGCAGCACCATGCTCTACTCCAAGTTTATTTGTTTCCAAATGTTGAATTGAATTGCATGGACGTTGTGTGATTTCAACAGGGCGGGCTAGTTGCAGTGTTTTCGAAAAAGGATCAATTAGCAAAAACGGCTATGCCAACTGGCAGCCTCTCAGCTGCGAGCTTACTCTTTTGGTCTACTTTCTTTTTTAGCGAAGCAGTTAAGTATAAGTTCTGTGCCAACCAATGGAATGTTGAGGCCTTTCGTTAAAGAAAAATTATTGAGAAATGTTAACTAGTCTTTTTTCAACATTTTTAAGACACTCAGGGGTGTTACAGAAACAGATTGTTGTCGGAATCAGAATCGAAACTGACAAATTTCTGTTAAAGGGGTCACACTCTCCGATTATTGATTTGTATCATCATGTAAAAATGTTCACAAGCTCTCCGTTTTCCATTGTCGTTCATTCCTAAAATTATCCAGCGTAGACAATTCAAAGGTTCAAAGACCTTTAGCATTTTTATTATAACCACAGAGACTGTAGGTCTTGCTAAGGAGATATTCAAGTCCCAAAGACCGTTTAAAAGAGAGTTGGAGCACAAGTGGGATAGACAGCCTATCTAACTGGCATCCAGCACTATTACAAAGGCCTCTTTGTTAAGACGATATCAGGCTATGAATCTATGTAGAAACGAATTTTGTATCAGCAAATGTAAAAGTAGAATGCAAATCGCACTTACATCGACTCTGACAGCTTCAGCGAATTGCACTTATCCCAATTAAAATTTTACGTTTTATTTTCTGGATTATTGCTCCAAATCCTTCTATCATCAAAAATGCTATCACTGCCGAAGTCATTTTATTTTTAATAATCACGAATGTGTTAATACCAGTACAAAAATTGAATTGAATTGCTGGGTTTTTTGCAACAAGTGTGATGACAGCTGATTCGAATATCGATTTTGCTTATCTTCGAAAAAATCAAAATCAAATCGGTTGCATAACACCATTTCAAACAGATATTGATATTCAATTCCGACAAAAAGCAATTCTGAGTCGGCTTCTAGAACACCCCTGACTAGTTTATCGTGGCCCATTCGATATTTCGTAAAAATTGTGTCAAAATGTGGTAGTTAAGATGATTTTTTTTATTTTTTTATTTATTTTTTTTGCTCGATTCTCTAATAAAAAAATTTGTATTGCAGTTTTTCATATTCGAAAAAACCTAAAATCCTAGACTCACAACTTTTAACTTGAAATTTTCTTACTAAAAATCGTTAATTAAGTTCCTAATATAAATACACGCTTCATAGCAAAAAAAAAAAGAAAAAATAAGTGGATTTAAAAGATATTATTTTTCTATTATTTGAGATTAAAAAAACTTAAATAGAATATGATGTTTTCTCTGAACCGCACTCGATTACAGGTTATTGAAAATCCAAGCTTCAACTTGAAAGCCCTAAAGTTATGTTGAAATTTTCATAGAATATCGCGCTTTGATTTTAATAAAATTTCGCATTCATTGGCGTACATATAGGAGTATAAATAAGACCCTGAAAATTCACATATTTTCCGAAATGAAGCTGGGGAATTATATTGTACGAGTGGACTTCGTCTCTACTCAGTTTACCGAAAATTTCAGAATTTCCTGTTTATGGCAAATAACTTGACTCAAGAGAAACGTGTGCCCATTTCTGGTCACTAGGACAAAAAAAAAATGGCCAAAAGTTATCATGTAAAATAGTGCAGATTTTCCAAAAATTGGATAAATCTAATTACGATAAATGAAGCCTACAATTTAATGCAGAAATAATAATTTTTACCAGACCTTAAACAAAAAAAATGATAATGGAAAATTATGTATGAGTGGTACAGCGGAATCGGGCACGAACTTATGCACTCATCCAATACAACAACAATTTTTTGATGCTATTTTTTTAATTAAATGAAAAATAGAATTGAGTTCAAACGCTGCTTATGCCCTGAGGTGCGCAATTAAGCTTTTCATCATACGAATAGCTCTCAGTTTATTTATGAAAGTTGGCTGGTATTATAGGCAATAAAAAATACTACGCTTTTAATATGCATACGTAAATGTAATACACTCAAAAATACATAATAAAATTATTCAAATAAATCAATGGTTTATGCTCTAAAAAATGAAACGGAAACTTTTAATTAAATTTTTTCTTCAAATAATCTGAATGAAAACAGGTAAAAATTTACTGCTGAAAAAAATTTTAAACCATAAACTATTTAAAAAAAAAAAAAATTTAATATTTTTCCCTCCATTTGGTGCACACCACAAATTGGCCACCGCCGAAAAATCGCTTCACCATACATATAGATATATGTGAAATATATATGTACATATAGTAAGCAAAATTAATTTTTAATTTTTTTGCCAAAATGATCCGCTGCGACCAAGAAAATTTGCATTTCCCAAGCTTAACTGTCTGCTGACACAATTATGATGCAATGAGTGTTCAAAAAATGTATTTGCTTGCCAATAATATTTGTAAACTGGCAATTCCAGTAAAATTTTACAGCAAATTTATTGCATTTCAAGCATTTCATACACTTCATATGTTCATAGTGCCACACGAAAAATCTTTAAATCATTTTTTTTTTTACTAATTTCAACTATTTTTCATGTTGCATTTCGATTTATTTGCTCATTTTGAGTCACGCTACTTATACTGCGAATATACACGTATGTACATATGTATTTATGTCCAATTACTTACATTCCAAATTCTCTTCATATTCACGCGAAATCCAAAATTCTGCGGCAACAATAATCGCCAAAACTCCTTCAGCGGCACGTTAAACACGCAAACCGTCAGTCACTCAATGCAAATAACGAATAAAAAAATTTACCATTAATTATTTCAAACACCGCAACTCCAAGTTATTTCTGACTCAATGAGCGTCAACGAAATACACAAACCGAACCGCAAAACACACTAAGCGCATTAACAAATCGAAAACGAATTGCCACAAAGCGAAGCAACTCAAATATTTACCAACCAACTAACTGTGTTATGTATTAACGGTTTACGCGCCAACGTTGTCTCTATGAAACTGAAAGTTTTTCCAATGAGCACATTGGTTTTATGCAGCTTCCTAATGCCAAAAGCACGAGGCGCCACGACGCCGCGCCGCCCCGCGATGCGCCCAGAAATACAACAATACAAGTCGGAACCAAGTGGCGTTCGCTGCGGCTACTACTACTGCTGCTGTTGACTTGATGATGTCTTAGCTTTGGCACTGGTTCAGGCAACCGTTATTGGCCATTCCGATTGCTATCTGCCGTAGGAGAAAAACAGTTGAATACTCAAATGTACGTGTGTCCGTGTTTTTGTGTGTTTTTGTGTGTTTGTGCGGCAGCTGTGCAACAAGTGGCGTCAGCATTTGCATTTCCCGTGCCATTTCAATGGAAAATGCGCCACAGCGCAAACCAATTGGAAAGAAATGGGAGGGGGAAAACAACAGAGAATGGGGGTATTTGGGTGGCATAATGTGTTAAGTGGTTAAACTGTTGTAGATGTTTACTGATATTTACTCGTACTCGTATACCACGAGTGTTGGCATCTCTTTTGATTTCCATGCCATGACCACACAATTCAACCGCAGTCAAGGTAATTAGTTTGCTAGGCGTATTTAATGCAATATTCACACAAATACATTTTATTTTGCTTACGATTCACACACACTTTTCTTCTTGCCTTCATTATTCATCATTTATATATAAAACGTTTGTATGTACATATGAGTGTGTGTGCGACATTGTGTTTAACTTGTTTTAGTTAATTACTCATAAATTACAACAAATGAGTTTATTGCACTTAACATTGAACTTAATCTAATTTAAGCAGTGACCAATAAGTTGAAAGAAAAGATTCCTTGCAGTTGAATGCATTCACGGCGCTTTCAATCTGTCAAGAAAATAATAGAAACTCCCACGCATAGGAAGATCAGAAGTCCTTTTTTTACATAGTTGAACAGCAAAAGAAACAAGAAAGAAGTGTCTTCGGGCAGGTAGAATTCTTGAACCGCCCATGACCACATCGAAATGATGGTAATTCATTTGAAAATTAAATATTAATTCTCATATTTGAGAAATTGGTTGGAGGCGGCCAAATGATGTAGTTTTCCGATTTCGATCATTTTTGGCGGCAATGTTTATTTGTCAAACTTGTAGATGCTTTTTCCATGGATTATTGACTCGAAAGCTCATATTTGAAGAAATCAGTGTAGTGGAGCTCTATAGTATTGTCGTCTGATGTCAATATTTTTCACTGCCTCATCATTCTCATACGAGGCTTGTTTTGATTTTTTCATTGGGTTAAGGTTTTTATGAGGTAAGTCCCAAATCGTACGCACAACCGCATGGGATTCGCCTACTCACTTTAGCTCGCCTCCAAACGGATGTTTGTTGGCTACCCAGGAGCCTAAGACCGGAATTCGTGAGCTGCTTGAATCATATGTAAAATAATCGTTTCTGGCCACTCACAGCTGAATGACAATAAAAAGACTTTCCTCACTTGCGTGAGCTTCTACACATGGCCCCATACCCCATCTCCTGTGTACGCCGATGGTATCGACATTATTGGCCTCAACAACCGCGCCGTTAGTTCTGCTCTCTCCAGACTCGATAAAGAAGCGAAGCAAATGGGTCTGATAGTGAGTGAGGGCAAGACGAAATATCTCTTGTCATCAAACAAACAGTCATCGCATTCACGACTCGGCTGCCACGTCACTGCTGACAGTCATAACACTGTAGTCGTAGATAACTGCGTCTATCTTGGAACCAGTATTATTAACACCAACAACAGAGTCAGTCTTGAAATCAACCGCACTCTTGCTAACAAGTGCTACTTTGTACTGAGCAGGCAATTGAAAAGTAAAGTCCACTCTCGGCGAACGAAAACCAAACTCTATAAGTTGTTCATCATACCAGTTCTACTATATGCCACAGAAGCGTAGACGATATCAATATCTAATGAGTCGGCTCTAGGAGTCTTCAAGAGAAAGCTTTTGGCGAACGATTTTTGGTCCTTTGCGCATTGGTAACGGCGAATGCCGCAGATGATGGAACGATGAGCAGAGGAAGAGAAAGACCTCCACTCCGTTGGAAAGACCGGGTAAAGAAGGACCTGGCTTCACTTGGTAATTCCAATTGTCTCCCAACAGCAAAAAGAAGGAACGAATGGCGCACTGTTATAAATTCGGCTATAATCGCGTAAGCAGTGTCTATGCCAGTAAAATAAGTAATTTTTGGTAATTTTTGGAAATAACTAGATTTTTACAAGCGGACCTAAGATTTTTATATATAAGATGAGGCGTCCCACTACACACTTTGCAGTAAGGAAAATTCTCCGTATAAGGTATTTCAGTAGGGTGTATCAAGATACGTGACCGCAATTTAATTATGGATATTTGCGCGGTCAGGAATGGAACCCGTGTAAAAAAACCACTCGGCAAATGCGGCCATCAGCTTAACATTACAATTACAATAAAAATTTCAACAATTAGCTCTTCTTCCTGAGCATTGGAAAACATTTCTTTTATAAGCTTGAGTTTTTTTTTTAATTTTGAAGTTATGATTGAATTATACAAAAAAAAAAAAAATTCATATCAGAATTGAAAAAAAAATAATAATCATTCATATCAGAGAGTGCGGCACACAAATAATTCAATAAGTTAGGTTACCTGATGTTATCGCAAGCCAAACCGACCGATCGGCCATAATGCAATCGACCTCGATAGAGAATGTCGATCACTTATATAACCGCTGAAGCGTTTATCGGCGAAATTATTACTATTGTACCTATTGTTTTTCGACAAATGTTGCTCCTTGCAAATTCTACTAATTCCTCCTCCGAACGGCTGATACAGCTTTTAATTCTTGTCGTGAATATCTGTGCAGAGGGCAAGCCACAATATTCTTCTACATTCTTATATCTTTCATGTAGTAATGTGAACAAAAAGTGCGGTGAATCTTTATTTAGTCTTCTACATCGAATTCGTCGCTTTCAAAATAGTCTCCTGTGGATGCCATGCACTTATGCCAACGCTTTTTCCAATCATCGCAGCATGTCGAATAGTCACGTTCTGCTATTGCCTTCAGAGAACGCGCGAATTCACGTTTAATCTCCTCAATCGACTCAAAACGGTGTCTTCGAAGTAGTCTCTTGAGTTTTTGGGAGAACCAGAAGTCACATGGTGCTAAGTCTAGCGAATACGGTGGTTTTGGGAACAATATTCATGAAATTTTTAGCAAAATGATCACGAAGAATGAGTATTGTGTGAGACGGTGCATTATCGTTATGCAAAAACGAAGAATTCTTGCTCCATAATTCTGGTCATTATTTGCGAATTACTTCACGCAAACGACGCACAATGTTGCATAAGATTCCTTATTTATTGTTTGACCGGACGGAAGGAATTCATAGTGCACCACACCACGAAAATCGAAGAAAGCAGTCAACATGACCATGATTTTGGAACGACTTTGACGAGATATTTTCGGTCTTGCCTCACCTTTAGCACGATATTCTTTGAAGTCTTTGTGCCACTCATACACGTTCTTCTGCGACATAGTTGAGTCCCCAAAGGCTTTCTGTAGCATCCTCAACCTTTCAGCAGCCGAAAATTCGTTCCGCAAACAAAATTTGTTCGCATTTCTTTGCTCATTAAATCAGACATTATATAAATCGCCGATGATTTAGATGTCAATAACAGTGCTACCAGCATTAAAAAAAAATTAATTAAATTAAAAATTCACCTTACTTTTTGCTCAAATAAAATGGTATATTAACTTAAGTCCGAAGTATGTATGTACGTACTAGAAGGGGAAGAGATATACCCATCAAAATGTAAACCGATCGAATGAAGTCGACAAGCTGATTTGATTTATGTCGATGAATTACACATTGGTGTTGAAAACTATCGAAATCGCCCGACCATACCATATAGCCCCGACTATTTTCAGATGTGCAGTTTTGGGTTCAAATCCATCAAAAGCGCGTCTAAGTGCATGAAATTTTATATTCTATACACGTACATACATTTAAAATGAAAGTCCAACCAATTGTCTCAGATTTGAAAATTTATATTTAATCCTAAAATGAGATTCCATAAATGGTGAATGAATGGTATAAGGAGTCCGGAATGTTTGAAGACAGCTCTTCCTTCTTGTTGCAAATTTTTCTTGCCACGATTTGAGCATGACAGCAGGCACTGTTAACCCCTCGTCGTGCAAGACATTTCACTAAATAAAAATTGCATCAGCGGACATATGGCATGAAAGATTGGAGAGATATCAATTCATATTCACAATACTGAAAACCATGACCTTTTATTTGAACCTGTTGAAAAATAATCGGATATTCCATTGGCACTGTGTGTGTCTACTACTTATTAACACTCCCAATTATAAATTTTTCAATTGGCATTATACCATCTAAATGTTATTAAATCGTCTTTTGATTTTTATTTTCTCAAATTCCTTAATTAAAACTACGCGTTGAGTCGTCTAAACGAGTCTTTTGTGAAAGTAATTTTGAAAATTTTTTTTTTCTAATGTGAGTTCGATATTTTCTTTTTTTTTGTAATTTCTTAAATTTCCCAAATATTGGTTGGCAACAACAGGTTGGCTTATTTGTCACGCCAATTGCTAGATTTCGTAAGGTTATGATGCACAACATGTAAAAATACATGAAAAACAAATTTGGTGGCAAAAATTAATGAAAACCATCAAAAAAAAATAAAAAAAAAAACAAAATAAAATACAAAAATAAATACAAAGTCAATTTTATAGCCGAAAAATTTATTATAAAGTAAAGTTGTAATTTATGAGTACATATTTATGTTTATATCCATCCGTGCGTCTCTTTCTTTTACTCTTATTCGCACACAAACAATTCGAATTCGATTTTTTGTTTTTGAAGTTCAGGTTCAAATGCAGGAAACGTGCAAGTGCAACTGAGCCACTAAAACAACAACAACAAAAACAACAAGAAGAAGAAGCACAAAACAATGATCAAACAAACAGGCACGACAACATTGCAATCACTTTTGCTATATGTAGTCAACCGAGTTGCCATAAACAGTTACACATTGTTCGCATGTTGCATGTTGCTGCTGTATAAACGTGCATACTCATGTAAACCTATGTATTTATCTATGCGCCACATGTTTCACACCGCATGCCCGCATACTCGATGCACTACTTTCTAAGGCCATTTATTACGGTAAGCCAATTGCCTTGGCAATGACGGCCAACGCAAGAAACCACCAACCAACAACCAGCCTCCAGCCCCCATCTGCCTCCCTCCGCCGCGCAGCGAACGGTAGTCAGCAGCTGTTGCTGTGCTGCAATCGATGGCGCTACAGGATGTGCAACGCGCAAATGCGGAACAATTTTGTTATCGCTGTTGTTGTTGCTGCTGTTACGGCACTCTTTGGACAATATAACGGCAGCAACCGGTCGCGCGTCTTGCATCTGTTGTACGAGGAGCAAGTGGCAAGTGGCAAGTGGCAAGAGTTGCAACTATTTTCCACCATTGCTGCCGGTGTTGTTGTAATTGATTTTGATATTTTTTTATTATCATTTTTTCTCTTTTATTTCAATATTATCTTTTATCGCTTTTTGCAGTAAAACAACTGTTGCGTAACCATTTTTTCTGCGGCAATGCTAGACTTAAATATTTCAAATTGCTCAATAGCCAAGGCGTACATATATCCGCGCATGCGCGCATTTCCTCTCTAATATCCTGTCTGTTGGGTTGAAGCTAATTTTTTATTTCTTTCTTTCTTTCTTTATTTATTAATTTTTTTTTTTTTGTTTTCAGCTTTATTTGTTTTTGTATTGAATTTTTTCATCAGCGGCACGCATAAAAGCCATTTGCAATGTCTAAATAAAATAAAAATCAAATTGCTTTTAATTGCATAGCGTCAGAAAAAAGCAGGCGGGAATATCCAATTGCGTTTCGATTGCATTTTTCCAAAAAAAAAAAAACAAAAAAAAAATTAAGTTTGATAGATGCATACGAGTGCGATGGTATTACAGACGAGATTTGTTGTTAATTGCATAATAATGTGGCTTGTGAAAAATGGATTAAATAACCGCATACGAGTATGTGATCCATAAATGATTTGCTGCTTGTCGTAATTTGACAGCCAAATTCATGATCGACGATGTAACCAAATTACATGAAATTATAACGTTTAAGGCGGGAAATACACGTAAGTACCGTAAAAAGATATGCACTATGTATGCATTAATTTGAAGGCTTAATTTGCCATAGTTGAATTTATACGTTTTATGTCGAATATGCACCATTTTGCTCGATAACTTTTTGTCAGTTAGAATGTATTGTCATTATGTTCTGCTCATAGAACCCCAAATTTCAGAGGCCTCTCTTGAGGAACCGATATTAATCAGTCAGATGCAAACGATCGTGGTCGAACGGCAGTGAGCCAGCACAAAGGGTCTCCAAGCCAGGATGGACGACCAAGAAGGTTTTTAGTATGTGTTTGATGGGAGAAACGTGATGACATTACCTTCAAAATTACAAAAAGTTATCGAGCAAAACGATGCATATTCAACATAAATCTGATAATTCAAGTCATAGCAAAAAAGCCTACAATTTAGTGCATGGGTTATTTTTTACTAAATCTAATATGAAAAGTGGTATTGTATCGTAGTGAAAGAGGCATCATCTTCGTATAATGCATCGTCAAATTTTAGGCATCTGAAAAGTAAGTACTTCTTTTATACTATTTTATTAATTTTTTTAGAACATCTGGTAGAAAAATACATACAATTTTCATTAATAATTTTAATTTATCGTTCTTTTATTTTTTATTACATTAGTAAAATAATTTTATTTAATTAAATATGTTTTAAAAGTACTATATATATATTAGTAAATTTATAAAAAAAAAAATAATGCTGTATTAACTTCATTCTATGATATCTGCATACAAACAAATATTTCACAATTTGGATTAGAGATATGAGATTTTTTTTTTGACATAAAATTCCTTAATTAAACTCATAATACAATGCAATTAAAATTTATAATTATTCTCTTTATTCAAAATTTACATTTAGATTTTATTTATATATTACAATAATTTAATAATAATTTTTAAGTTTTCCTTCTTGAATCTTTTTCATATTTTTCAATGAAAATTTCTTAGCAAAAGAGTTATGAATAAATATTAAACCCAAACACCCGAAGCGAAATGCTGTCGTTAACAGATTATGTTAAAGGTTAACATTGCAGGGTGCTGTTAATGTCAAAGCAAACAGCGGTTTCAACAGCAACAATTTCATTTCGTAACATAATATAGCGCCGAACTGCAGCAAAATCATGTAAGACAATTTTCCGCAAAAAAGTACAATGTTTTGTAAGTGAATCTCGGCTATTGTCAATAAAATGAATTATTACATGAAGTAATAATAATAATTTGTTACCTATTATAAAAAGTTTATATAATCATCTGATTTTTATAAATAAATTATAAAAACTATATGTATTAAAATTTATTATTACTTTAATTTCCACCTTCCGAAGGAGACTTTCTATTTGTTCACATGAATCACGCTGAGCCGGAGTGTCGAGAACTAAAAAAAAAGTTTAGCAAAAGAAAAAAAATTTTCAGCTGATTTGAACAAGTATTATATTTATAAAAATTTTTTAATGATAGTTGACATTCAATAAAATTGTTTTCTTAATATGAACGATCGAGTCAGATATGTCAAATGTGCTAGAAAGTGAATGTAAATGCAGACACAAACCATGCAAGAGTTGAGAACATTTAAAAAAAAATTTAAATGTTTTTAGAAACAAGGGAAAAAAATTACTGGATGTTCTAAAGGGAGCAATTAATGTTATTTCCGTACTAGACATTAAACATGTTATCAATTTAACCTTAAAAACCTTATCATTTAACTACGACTGGCAAGAATGGGTACATAAGTAAGCTTCAGACGACTAGTATGAGTGCGATGATTGTTTTGAGAGTCCCAATGCAAAATTCTCAATGCAAAAGGATGAAATTGTCTTTGAACAAATTCTATTCGATCAGAGTAGATTTCATACCTCGGTTTCCATATAGCCGGAACAGCTCTTAATCATGTTGTGATCGTGTAGCATAAGTAACATAAGAGTTCTTGATTTCATTTTGAACACCCTTTTACAAATGCCAATAAACCTTTGACTTTGACTCTGTTAATTGTCACACCAATGTCAAGGGTGTAGCTTAGTTTAGGGTCCATTGTGAAATCCAGAGCAAGGAAACAGTGCACCATTTCCAGTATATAGTTACCTATATATAAGTATCTCTCTTTACGTTTCGTCGGGAGAAGGTTATAACTTTACTTTTTTCTTTAATTTAGGTGCATACGATTACTTTTTCAACATTCAACCGTGCTTATTGTCAGTTTGTAGCAACATAGTTTAGTTTATTAAGTTTTTCATCATCTGAATACATTGAAATTATTAAGAATTTTATCTGAGAAGAATTATAATTCAAAAATAATGAGAACTGAATCGGGCTTAGGTGGCTACTCTGGGGTACTAATTTTACTAGATTTTAACGGAAAACAGAATTTCGACTTGTAAAATATTTGGATGCAATCCCACTAAGTCAAGTTTTTTCGCTTTCTCTTACATTTATTATTATTATTATTTTTTAATTTTACATAAATCATTTTTGTATGAGGAAGTGTTTAGAATGCATTAAAAGGTGAATTATATATGTTAGTACTCGGTTAAAACTATATATAAATATATGTACAATATATAAATTAAGTATTGCGCGCGAACATACTCCCACAATTTATTTATATTTTTTTCAAGAGCTTTATGGCTTTGAGGCTGTGGCAATTTTAATATTTAACATTATCTGCTAATGAGCTTATGCTATTAACAGCGCATTTCTATTTTAACATTTAACATTATCTGTTAACATTCTAACATTGACGACAGCATTTCGTTTCGTGTAAAAATGAAATAAAATTTATTTTGATAATCTCTTCAACTGAATCGATTGAAATTTTTTTATTTAAATTTACTAACTATCCTCACGATGTAACCTGATCTATGTACATGCATGACTATTTAAAAAATTAAGAAAAATTCAAAATGTGTTCTACTTGTATCGAGAATTACATGTCGATACTGTTTACATAAACTGTTTACAAACAAGTGTAGGTTGCGCAAATAGCAACATACATATATGTAAATATACATATGGATATCAAACTCCAAAGCGAAAAGTCACATAAAAATGCAAAAGTATAATAAAAAATAGCTTTAAAAGATTATAAAATACATACTTATTTTATACACACATATACATACATATATACACCAATGTTTGAAAATATCTGTAGTTACTATATTGGCAATGATATTTGCATACTACATATTTATGTATGTATATACTTGAATACACAATTGGCTTTTAAAACACCTCAAGTCATTTTGTATTCAATTTTCCACTTTAAGTTGATACATTTTAAGGCATAAAATTCAAAACAAACAAAAGGCATGAAAATGCGCTGCTTGTCTCAATTTATGAAAGATAAATGAATTAGCGGGAGCGCGGAACATTTAAGCCATTTACTACGCCCGCGTTATAGAGCGTCCAGCTAAACTGATACTTTGTAAACACGAAGCACAACAACACAAATCACACACAAGAGCAGCGCGGTCGCGCTCAACTATAAGCAGTTGCTTACTTCAACGCTAACCCTCAGCTTTGCCTCAACACACTGCCATTAATCGGGCAGACCCACACTAATGCGCTGACGCGTCGCTGTGGTGCGCGCATTTCGCGTGGGTGCCGCCTTTGCGGACGTCGCACCGCCATCATCACTTGCTATAATCTCGCCATTGTGTAGACAGAGGCTACTGCGCAAATGCTTTTTCACACCCGTACCCGTACCCGTACCCACTGCTGCAGCTGCTACCTCAGCGTCTTGAGTTGGTGTCGGCATGTCAGCGTTTTGCTTTGTTGTTAGCGATTTTGGTGTGATTTTTCGTGCAGCTGATGAGATTGTTTGATTGTTAAGACGACTCCATGTTGTTGTTGTATGATTATGGTAATTATTATTTTTGTTGCTGTTGCTGTTGTTGTTATTTATTTTATTGACCAAACGATTGCGCTCCTCATCTCCCACGGCCAGAGTATTATTAACGCTTCTGTTATTTAATGGCTTGTGGGTTGCATTTGTGGTTGTTGTTGTTGCATTGTCGTGCATGTCATTTTCCATAAATTTGTGCCCCACAAACGTCTCATTAACATCATCCACAATATCTATCTCACTATTGTAACGTCGTAACTCTTGTTGTTGTTGGCGTTGTTGACTATTGCTTCCGGTGCGCATATTTGCTGCTGGTATTGATGCTGACGCGCGATTACGCGACTGCGCACTCAACGGCGGTAGACGTCGTGACTGACTTGGCATTTCATCGTCGTGTGAGTAGGTGTCATCACTGTAGGTGACATGTTTTTTGGGCGAAGCTCGACGCAAATCCATATCTCGCATGCGTCCCTCCATATAATCCACATCGTCGACGGCTTCAGGGTTGCGCTCATACAATTCATTAGCTCTGTGTCCATAACGTGCATTATCTCGTCCGATTTCCCTCATTCTGTAGTCCCCGCTACCGTATTCATCATAGTATCTACGTTCTCTTATGGGATTTTTGAGTATACGTTTAGGTGGCGCTGTAAAACGTCCAACACTATTGGCGCGACGGACTGTCGCCACACGTCCATAACGTGCACTGGGCGGATAATCGGGTGTCTCATAGTCATCTTCATATGATTCCTGGAAGCGACGTTGACGACGGTAGCCATATTCGGGACTTACAGTGCGTCTACTTTCTAAAAATTCCAAATCACGCAAGGGGCTGCCGCGTGTGTTCGGGTTTACTTTAATTCCTGTCACATTATGACGCGCAATTTCGTATTCCTCATCAGCGCCTGCAGGATCTTCATCATATCGTTCATTAGCTCTCTCGCTTACCTCGACACGTCTGTTATTATTAAGCTTTGCGTCAGCACTCGCTTCATGCTCCCCCTGCTTTAAGTCTGATTTTCCGCTTCGTACGGCTGGATAGAGCTTTTCATTTGCGCTTAAATTACGCACATTATTTTTCACTTGCAATTTTGGACTATTCTTCGTATTGCGCTCCATCTCCTTCTTGTCATTCATATCCATCTTCGAACGTCGCAAATTATTCCGATTATTTAACTCGTCACCCACGTAATCGTAGAACTCGATTTTCGAGGTGAACGCCTGCTTTTTCTTGGCAGTGGTATAACCAGCATTCACCACATTCTCCGGCAAAGGCAGTTTCATGGCAGTCGGTTTCGGTGTCACCTCATTCCCCCCACTCCTGCCAGCCCTAAACAGTAGCGGTTTTCTCACTTTCGTCTCATCGCCCAAATTATCTAGAAATTCTATAGAGGATTTGGAGAATTCCTTTTGAAATAATTGTCGCGTATTCACATCTGCGTCACCACAACCACCACCACCATCAACACCGCTCACCGATGATTGCATGCGCAGTCGCGGTCGCTCGGCTTGTGCAATTTGTAGACTATTACGCCTCTTTACACGCGTCTCCACCGCCGAATCGACTTTGGTGTCATCTGGCCAGAAGATACTCGATTGCAGGCGGTTGCGTTGTGTACTGCCCCGATCGATCATGCCGGGCGGTAGACCCGTATAGAATTTTCCATTTAGCATCTTGACTCGAGATCACCGTAAACAACCGTCCGTCTAAGTGAGAATTAGAAACTCAACTGAATCGTTGTCGTGCGCCGAGAATCGATTGAAGGTGATTGGTTTGTATATACATACATGTGGGTATATGTGGGTTGTTGGCTGCAGCAGCTGACACTTGTTGATGTTCATGTCGATGCTGTTAAGTATTAAATCTACTAAGTATGGCCGAGAATGTTAGTTTTGTTGGTAGTTGTCGTTATGTCGCAAGTTTGTAGGCGTTTTTGTTATTGTTTTCTTGTTAAATATTCAATTTGCTGTTCTGTGCTAATTAATCCCAATAAACAATTAAATAAATGGATCGGTTTTCATAATAAATATTGTAGATTTATTAGTTTCACACTAACTCACCTCGGTCAATGATTCCCGCTTTTACTACCGCCGAATATCATGAGCTTTCAGCTAAGCATGGCTGAGAAATTCAATAAATTTTACTTTAAAGGACAACCAGTATTATGTTCATTTCTAAGCATTGATATTCGGAGAGGTTAAAATGAGATGACTGCCCTCTTGACCTCTTGAGAAGAGCCTATAACACGGTCGATTCAATAGTCCAAATAAATAGTGGAGGTTAATGGAGATCTGCGAAAGTTTTAGGAGATTCCTCTTATAATTTCAAACCAACTCAATAGTAAGGATCAGATAAGATCTCCTCAAGAGAGATAATGCCAACGACTTGCATTTCAAACAGACAACGGGTAACCAAGACCCACACTACCACCAGCTTAGCAGATGCTCTTCGAGCTGGAATATCTTCGCTATCTTTTGAGTTGAGAGTTCGGCAAAAAAGCAAATCAACGTAAGAGCCCTCACAGAAGTCCTCCTTTGGTCATACTTATTTCTTAACGATACAAAATTCCAATTACTTAAACTCTGCTTTATGCAGCTTCTTCTTTCTTTATTAATTTGCCTTGCCATTTTTTTTAATTTTTCTTGACATGATTTTTAACTAAAGCAAACTTGTCAGTGTGCTCTTTAAGAGAGGATTTCCTAAAAAGAGTTGTATTATCTGTTCCCCTTTGAGGACTTTTTTAAGACTGACTTCACTTTAAACCAGACGACACTTTCGAACTCGCTTTGGAAGTACCCGTTCAGAGCCTGATGAGTTGTTTTAAGAATACAACTCAGCTGATAACCGAGTAATCCTGACCTCCTTAAGCTCCACTCGGAATCAGTCTGTTCACCGTTTACGTAAACCAAGACGAAGTAGAACTCAAATCATTCAACAAAAGGCCTAATCAATATTTAAGTAGAAATAGTGGTGTTTCTAAGAAAATTTAATTCAATTAGCCCCTTACGTCAAGGTCGTCGAATCCTAGATAAGGTAGAAGGTGAAAGTGAAAATAGAATTTATTGAATTTATAAACGGAGTTTCTTGAATGAAATGTATAGTAGATTTATTCTCTTCTTTTCTACAAGCGTTGGCTAGACATTCAGCGTCAAGTGGAGACAACAAGGGAAGCCGGCTTTATCCAACGGATTCCTCTTTTTCTACTTCTACCAGCGGATACTGCATTACATATTTTTCAAGCTGATGTGATTTCATTGATACGGGCAACATAACATAGCCAGTATTATGTCTGTCCCTTAATTCCGTATAACTCATCATCTCATCCATCGTCTACCGGCAAGCACAGCGCATCACATCGCCTTTACGCCAAAAGCCATTCTATCGAAAACTACTAGCGTCGACTCTTCGGATGTCATCACCACCCATGGCTCAGTACGAATTATGAGTACGGTGGGCAACTTCAAGAGTTTGGTCTTAATTAAACGAGCAAGAAGTTTTCTTTTCCATTGTGCCTACCCAGTCTAAAGTAACACCTGTTTGTAAGAGTGATTCTGCTTTGAATTTCAAAGAATTGTTTTTGGTACTGTTTCTGGTTCAAAGATAGACGGAGTTATCTACAACCTCGAAGTGACGTGGGAGCCGTGTCGCCAAAGCTCAAAGTCCTTACCTTTGGGTGCTTCATTCTCCTTGAATTTCGGTAGGCTGGAGGAGTGTTTCCTTCATAAACTCGACATCAGTCGCTAGAACATCTCTGAGAATGCACCGATCTTGAAACCTTTTGCAAATCAGCACATCTTCTCAGAGAATTTTCGAATATTACTCCTTTCGGTCAGCTCTTTATACTCACTCATAGCAGATTCTCTGTACAATTACATACATTTCTCAATGAATTCCAGCTTAAACGCTCACTGGGTTAGAGTGTAAAACTAACTTTTTAAACAAACACATACTAGCATACAAACACCTGCACACACACACACATACATCCACTTGTATGCACAGCGATTACGTCGTATAATTTATGCCTCCACTTTGCTGCTTTTGGCTCATAAAATGTTGCTTACTTTAGCTGGCCTGACTTTTGTTGTTTCGTTCGCTCGTAACTGCTATTTTTGCAGCGGCAAGTTTCTGTTTATGGTCAATTCTACAGTTCAAAAACAGTTTGGTGGAAGTGACTGTTGTTTGTCGTATTTATTTATTTATACGCAAATATTTATGGTTTGATGGAGTTGTGGCAAAGAGACATTTTTTTTTAGTTTAATTAATAATTTTTTTTAATTTTTTATTTTTTTTATTTTTTTCCTTTTTTTTGTTTCATTCAGAATTTGCTAAGTCGGCGTATAGGCAATTTCATGAGAAAAATGTTTAAGAATAACAGCATTTTCTGTTAATTATTTGTGATTGAACAACTGTAACTTTGTTTGCGAATTTCAACAACAACAAGTGGCAACATCATTGCACAGCTGGCATTAATTGCGTTGCAGAAGTTGAAAAATTCTAAGCGGCAAAATTTCAAATGCGAATTTCACTCGAAAAAAATTAATTTATTTTTTATTTAATATAAAATAATAATATTTATTAATAACATATGCAGGTAGCGACGATAAGCGTAAACGAAATGTATTTCAAATAATTTACTTCATGAAATTCCTTTTTTTATTATAAATGCCGAACATTGGCATTTTATGTGAAACACGACACCATTCAAATTACCGCCTCGCGAATTTTACAAACTACGGTCTATTTAAGGTAATCCTCCAATACCTTTTGGCACTTATTGGGCGGCATCTCAGCCATGACTTGACGATCGCTGGCTTTTAAGAGCTCAAAGTCAATGCGGTATTTCGCGTAGCCTCACAAAGCCAGTTTAAACGGTGGCAAGTCGCACGATTTCGGTGGCCAAGTGATTTTGCCACGTGGCGAGATGGAGAGGCTGGGAAATTTCTCTCGCATTAAAGACCTATTCACTGATGTTGTGTGGTATTTGGCACCATTTTGTTGAAACCATATATTATCCAAGCCGTGGTCTTCAATTGCAAACTAAAAAAGTCGGTTTTTTATATGAGCAAAACGCACCGAATTGACAGCGACTGTCTCGTAGTAGACGCTTTCGCAGAAGTAAACATACCTCCGGACCAAAGAGCGCACCAGACCGTTTTTGGGTACCTCTCTTCAATTATTTGAGGATTCTCGGAAGCTTAAATGCAACAATTTGTAAGCACTGAAGAGAATTCGCTCTGCTTGTTGTTCAAGCATCCATCCGACGTAGTATATACGATGTTGTGAATGGTCAGCTGTTTTCAGTTGTTGTGTGAGTTTGACCTTATATGGATATAGGTGCAAGTCTAAGTGCAGAATACGCCATAATGTGACGTAAGAAAGTCCAGCTCTTGAGAACGTCGAGAAATAGCCACAATCGGGTATTCGGCTACACTTGCACTACTTGTAGCGAAAATTTAGGTGGAACGAGCAAAACTATGATGAATAGACAGTACAATATTTCTTCAAATTTCTTTAAGATTTTATCAATTACTTGAGTAGTTGAATGCTTGAGGTATAAAAGGTGACCACATTTGAATCGCAATACTCGTAGTTGGTTTTATCAGTTCCAAGGATTTGCTATACATTTTTATAAATAACTAATTTTAAAAGCAAAACATATTTGGTTGGACAGTTAAGCTTGACAGATGTCAAAATACAACCCTGCACTTTTGAAAAAACGAAGTGTATACTCAAATGTCAATAGTTTCGAACGAATGGTAAAGCCTTTTTTCCATTTTAATTGTTTATTTATTCATTTATTATCGTAAATAGTTTTTGGTCTTGTTTTTTAGTTCGTCTTTTTTTTTTGTTGTTTCCTTTTATCAACTACAATACTTGCATATGCTTTCTAAGATAATTATTTTTTTTTTAATTTTTACAATGTTTTCTTTGCACATTCTACACATTCAATTTGTCATTTAACGAGCCATCTGTTGCTCTGTAATACAACATACAAATACACATGTTTGTATGTATACACAATATAAATAATATATACTTTATAAGTAATAATTCAAGTGTGTATGTATATATGTAAATGAATAATAAGTAGATAATAACTAATTGTGGATAAAAAAATTCATAAAGAAAAACTATTATGGCATACATATAAATTTAAATAAGTGAGATCAACAAATGTAAGACTAAAAATGCATTTAATATCAAATATTAAAAAAAAAAAATTATAGAAATTATTCAAATACAAAACTCGGCAAATTTACAGCGAACTGCAAATAGGTAATAACCACCAGTTTTCAACTGTTTTAAAAAAATCCGTTTTGCATTTCGAAGTTTTTCCAGCAAATTGAGGCACCTACGGTTTATACTAAGCCGTCTCCGAACGGCTGACGGTTTTTTATGAGGAGATTTATTTTATGTCCGAAATACACTCGGAGTGGTTGACAATCTCTACCGATTAGAAAATTTACCTTAATTTTTAATTTTTTTAAATTAATATTCTATAACTTTTTGTATATTAGTACGACACCAGAATTTAAATCCGAGTCTTCCGAATGGCAATACGCAACGCTAATCATTCGACTCCCACGGGCGCCAATCTATTTTGCCAGGATTAATTATTGCCTAAACTTTAAGATGTTGTTGTGGATGACTTTGGTTCCACCAATACAATGCCATACAGGAAACGAAACAATACATTTGTTGATGGCAGCATTTGGTGAGGCTGTGGCGTGGCTTCCAGATCGTGGATCTAACACCGGAGGATTATATTTTGTGGTATTATGTGAAGTCGCTTGCTTACGCAGATTAACGCGAGACGCTTGACGCCTTGGAAGAGAATTTTCGACACGTTATTGCTGACATACGGCCCCAATTACTACAAAAAGTAGCCGAAAATTGCGTACCTCGGCTGGGATATTTCGCCCAAAATAATTTTTGAAATACAATGGAAAGCATACCCTATACTAATATATAGTAATAGAGCTAAATTCTTGGACATTCAAGCTTTCAAATGAGTTTTATAATCTTCGGCAGCCTCGCTATTTTTAGCCTTAGACAAAATGTCCTCTGGGACGTCAACAAACATTTGTTTGGACGAGGGTGGTTACGTGTAGGATTTGCGTATAAGATTTGCCGTTGTTTTAAAGACACTGGCGCCCAGTACTAGCATTTAACCCGGTGGATGAACAGCTGGCAACATCAAAGTGAGGTATCGCTAATTCGCCTAATGCCTGTAACGCCAAAATCATGCTTGGCACACAATCGGTGCCATGACGATACCTCTAAATGAGCTGAGGATGAACAGCTTTGCCGAGGGACTGAAATGTAGTTGTGTACAGCACCTAAATTCGGCACAAGGAAAATTCGTCGTCAAGAAGCTGTACTCATAACACTTAGCCCACCGGTATTCTATTCGATTTGTACTGGCGTTCTCTGAGAGTACTTGTCAACAACTTGAAATAAAGGAACTGTGACCCGCTGTTTCAAACTTCCGAAGTATCAAGCATAGAAATATATAGAATAAGGGCTGGTATGATGAGGAATGTAAAGAGAAAATGTGGGAATCGGCACCAATACAAATCGTTTTGGGATGATGCCAAGAGTTGCTGATCACTTTAGGTAATGCTCAAGATTTCATGAAAATATTCAGCATCTTGTAAAAAAAGTTTAAAAACGAGGTAAATTCATGTAAAATCCAATCAGGTACCCTAATTTTGGAAATGTTCTCATGAAGAATAACAAAGCAAGAAACACGTTGGCCTACCGCTTGAGCTTTCCAATAGATTTTTTTTTTTTTAAATAATTTTTTTTTTTATTTGAGAACGCCTTGCGTAGGTTGGTTTGATTTGGAGCCAGAAAGAAACCTCTAATTTACTGTTCAATCAGTTTACTCTATGCAAGAATAGACCAACTTAGAGGATTTTTTTTTTTTTTTTTTGAGAAAAATTAGTAAAAAAACTTCATTTAGAACAGTTTAAGTAAGCAGAGAACAACACATTAAAAAATGGAAAATCATCGATTAGAAAATGAATGAGAATAAATTGAAACCGTTAAATAAGGAATGGAGCTTCAGCTCACTGTGCCCAAATAGACATACAAAAGTCGTTTAAGTCTGTCAATCCATTGCAGAATCTTCCAAGCTGAAATATTTGCTCTAAAATTGGCGGCAGAGCTACTGCAGAGTGGGAGTTTTCATAGGAAAAGAATTCAAATTTCTGTAGTTTGTCAAGTGCCTATAAAGGCCGTAATTTCATACAACACTAAGTTGGCTGTGGTAGAACTAAATAAAGAAGTCGTAAAATGACTGTCTGAAAAAGAAGAACTTACATTGGCTGGGTACTAGATCGGACGGGCATGGAAGGCAATCAGGTAGTTGATGAAATGGCTAAAGAGGGTGTCTTTTTAGCACAGGACGTAATAACGAACCTACCAGTTCCATTCAAAGAAGCGAAGCAAATGAAAGAAGTAATCCTTATTCGTCAGACCAATAGACTTTGCAGAGTAGCGAAAACTATGGACAAAACTAATGGCGCTAAACATGCAAAGTTTTTATTATCGATAAAGAGACCGAACTCCAGACTGTTGATTTTGCTGTTAATTCACGAAATCTACATCAATGGACTTCACACAATAGAGAGTGTAGTAGCCCAGCTTGGCCGTAGGTAGTGTGTCTGGTGGCACTTTGGACATAACATCGTTTATACGAGACCCCAATGCTCAGCCAGCTCAACCTATCCTAACCTAAGCAATTAGGTCAAGTAAAAAGTAATACATTATTTTTGAAGTACATGGCTTATTTAAAATTCAGTATTTAGTGAGAATGAATTCCAGATGCCTCAAGAAGCAAGTTCCGAAAACAACAGTAATTAAAAAAAAAAAAAATTAAAAAATATGAATTTAACAAATCAAGCATTTACGGAAGGAAGTAGGCTTATCTGATGAAAAAAAAATTTGGAGTAATGCCTTAATTTTTTATATTCTTCATATTAAATCCTTTTCTCTCAAATATAGAAGAGAAAATTTAGTCAGCATTTGTAGTGTCCAAATGCTGCGCGACTTTTATTCTTATACTTCTCTCTTAGCAGATATGTATGTACTTAATTTTGTTTCTCTTAAAACTACGCATACATAAACACAGTTAATTTCTTTTTCAAATTCATGACGGCTATTTAAAGGTAATTTTTAATGTATAATTTTTACTCTTTTCTGTTTCACATATTTACGAGCAGAATTTTACTCGTCACTATAAAATCATTTACAAATTACGGGTTTTATAGTTAATTTAAAAAGCGCTTATGTTATAATTTTGTGGGTGCTACTACATTGTTGTATGAATGTTTGTCACATTCCGATTTTGTGTGTTTTGTTCTTTTTGATTGTTTTTTTTTTTTAAAATCATTTTTACGGTAATTTTTTTAATATATTTATTATTTATTATTTATTATTTATTTTTATTTTTCATTCTTTGAAACAATCACTTTTGCTGCTAATACGTTATTTACAGAATTTTTTAAAAATATTTTTTTTTTGTTTTTTTTTTTCTTAAAATACATAAATAAATATTTCTTTACGCTTACAATTCTTAAGTGATTATTTTTAGGAGGGGTAAGCTATTGCAACAATAGGGCGTTGTTTTTTTTTTTAATTTTTTCTTACTATTTTTGGTGGACTTTTTCTTTTATTTTTTTATTAATTATTTTAACTTTACCTTTTTTAATCATTTAATTTATTTTTTCTTTATTTTTTTTTACTTAAGTATGCCGCGACAACGTCATGCCGTGAAAACCAAACACTACATACATATTTCTTTTTCGTTTTTGTAATGACAAATTTATGTTTTCATCTTTGCTTTTCAAGTTTGCAACATTGAAGATAACGTAGCAAACGATAGAGAGATAATTACAATACATACATATATATTCAATGAGTATAAAAATTTTGAACTATTTTTCATTTATCTTATGGCAATACAATTTTCTTTTACAATTTTCCAATATTTCCTAAACCTACAATCGGTTTATACCCAACGCATGCTGTAAGTGGGCTTCAAAATTTACTTAAAATTCAATTTGCAATTTTTATCGCAGCCACAGTGTGAAGTACACATTTTTGGCTTCAAATATTTAAACGGAAATTGAAAAGAAAATTAAAAAATAAGCAAGTAAAAAAATATTAAATAGGAAAATAAGAAAAAATATCTTATCGAAATTGTCGAGATAGGAGAAACTTCTGCAAGAAAATCTTGCAAGCTTATAGTATTAAACTAAGTCCATCAGCCTTTTCCAAATATTGAAAATTCATATAACACTATTCGCTTCCGCAATGTATTTTCTATTTGACATCAAGGTCTCCAAAAGAGTACGTTGTAGTTTCAAAAAAAGGCTTTTAAATTATAGTTAAAGAGCACTTATAATTTAAAATTCTACACTTCGAGTATTTAAATGGTCTTGAAATCGGTAGAAAACGATATCGCTTTTCGGAACGCGAACAGGCAACGAAGAGCACATTCCTTTCATTTTCTCATGTTCTTATTGCCGTTCAATAGAACGCTTTAAATCTTTACGGAATAAAGTTAAATTTTCATGCGTAAAAACCTTCTCCTATTAAATATTTAGCCAAATCGGTCCAGCAGTTCTCATTTCAGGAAAAACTTGTTTTCAACAGTTCTATATAAATAAATTTATTCAAGCCATAAAAGGGATTTTTTCGATTAGGTCAGACGACTTCCTTGAAACGAATGAAGTATTCCTGCTAAATCCGGTATGAAAAATAGATGTTGTCCGACGTACCCCCAGCCGATATGCACACCAAATTTCATGAAAATTGGCTCAGCCGTTTCAAAGAATATATTACATTAGAAAGATAAGGATTTTGTATGGTAGACGCAATGGTCCATGATCTCAGAAGTCTCTAAAAATATAAAATTCCATCTGATATGAAAATACGGCAAACATCTTACAAATTCCCAAAGAAGCGAGTTAAAATTGTTTAGTTACAGGACAATTAATGCTTCGTCCAAAAATATGGAAGAAGAAGCTCAACAGACCTAGAAAAAATGTTTTAAACATTCTAACACAATTAATATAATTATTGTAGACTGAGTACAGTTCCAGTGAAGTCGAAAGAGGTACCTAAGCTTGAACACAAAAAACTCAAATTAAACTGAAAAAGATATTTTCATTGGTACGGACAGAAGAAAATTTATAAAAGATACTAATTTATGCTGGTCCCACTAATGTCTTGAGTTTTTTCAATCTCTCGATGTGCCACATGATGACCTTGCAATATCAATTTTCGCACACCATCGATAATGACAAATTTAGTGGAATTCAGTTGAAACCATGGAAGTAATGAGGCATTTTCGAGAAAATCACAAAATTTCGAAAGAAATGGAAGAACGATGAGCATTAAACTTCATTTCCTTAATTTACTTTTGAGATATTTGACAGAAATGAATTAAATACATACATATATTCCTAAGCAAAAATGAAGTGTATAAAAATAAACGGATATTTTTTTTGTAGAAAAATTTTTGCCTTTTTCCGAATCGAACATTTGAATAATATGGATTATGATTTTCTGGATAAAGAGCAACAGTTCTCTTATGAAAAAAAGTACATATCTGACTAAATAACCAATTTGTCTTAATAAAATTTGGAGAAAGGCTATAGGGTGCCAAGCATCAGCAATCGATGCTACAAGTTAAAAATCTCTATTTATTAACATTTTCGAAAAAATTTAAATTTTCTCAAATATCAAGAAACAATTTTTTTCTCTGTACCAAGGCAAACCAACACAAGGGAGTAGCAAGAATATAAAAACAAAATGCCCATGTATTTCGTTTGTGTATTTATAGATTCGAAATGTCAAAAACGAAATTACTCCAATGTAACTTGTTTGTGTAATCGAACGTTCGAGAAGTCAAAACCTAATTCTCATGTACGAGTATGTATTTTGTTTGTGCAATTTGTTGCAATGGAAGTAAGAAAAAGCAATCATATGATGTGACAATTCAGCTTCTAAAAATTCATCTTGCTTCTGACCTTGTGAAGCAAGTGATCTGAATTATGGATATATTCTAGGGCATACTAGTTCCTTCTAGGAAAAAACTTAAGAGATATTAGGATTCTCGAACAATTTGAAATAATTTTTTTGAAAACCTCACTCAATTCTTGAAGTATTTGACTAGACCAATATGTTCTTAAATGATCAGTCCGTTAATTTTGTGAAGCTGATTCTCTGTACTTATCGTTCTATGGCCTTTCGTTTGGTTTTTGCATGACATTAATATCATCCACCTACGGCGCGTGCATTGGGTATAAAATAAACTTGTTCAATTGCGACACAACAATGTTTTTTTTCACATCTTACATACATAGTTACCACTAAATTTTAATTTTTTCCACTTAAGTGAGTTTAAAAAGTAGAAATTTGAAAAACTATTTTGGAATTGCTGATTTCAATATCTAATTTATTACAATACCACCGCTGCTGCCTTCCTGACTAACAGCCTGGCTAGCTGCATGGAACGCCTACAAAGTTAGTGCCTTTTGGCTGACAGCAATTACCACAAACCACACTCAATACACCAAATCACCATTCCTGGTAAACCATTTCACCATTTCACGGTGTGACTGGACGCCTCAGCGCCAGCTCTCACCACACTGCTGTGTCTCCATTCAATTGGGATTTTGCACTTCCACTTGCATTGGCACGTGCATTTGCATTTGCATCGGCACCGAAACGGGCGACATCAGAATTATATTCGTCTTGCCCTCCTTGTCGGTAGTGAATTGGCCGTGAATTTGTACTAATTCCGATTTCTCAGCGGCGCTGCCGGAGTCATTGCGCGTGATTACACAATATTGATTGCCATTGTAGGTGACGACCGGTACACCATTACTGCTGTTGCCACCAGTTGCGATGGCTTGTGTTGCATTATTTGTGGCGGTGTTGGTGATTGTGGCATTCGAATTTATGTTGGTGGTGTTGCTGCTGCTGTTGTTGCTGTGATTGTTGTTGGGTGTGGACAAACTGTTGATATTGGAATTCATGTTCACATTGTTGCTGTTGTTATTGTTATTGGTGTTGTTGTTGCTAGGAGAGACGGCTGTAATAACGGTTTGGTTATCAGCAGCGAAATTGATGCCGTTAAGTTGCGCTTGAACGTATGTGGCTGCCGTGGGGGAGTGTGCAAATAAATGGGAAATCTGGTGGAAATGAAGCGAATCATTGTTAGTGAAAGTGTTGGTGGTGACTAAACTAAAGTTGCTTGGTGGATAAGGGGAGGTCGTAGTGGGGTTGGCAGTTGTTGGTTGGATTGTGATGGTTAGTGTGATGGTAAACATTCAAGTTTTGGGGAATAAAAGAAAAAGAAGAAGAAGAAGAAAAGTACATATGTACACACACACATAGAAGTATTGTAAATGGGATATACATACATACAAACAAACACATATAAAATTAATTTAAATAGTTTTGCAAAAATACGAGGCTCTGGAGTAAGGAGTTGGCTGGTGGAGCGAGTGAGTTGGCTTAAGGGGGGGTTTTGAATGTTTTCTTAGCTACAAATGCTATTGTTGGTTCGTGAAATCATTGGTGTGAATATCAAAAATACACAAGCATACAAGCATATAAACATATGTACGTGTGTACGTATGTACATATGTTTACAATTAAATAAAAAAAAATTATTTTAGTAAATATTAATTACCTCATTTTGATTGCGATTATTGTTGCTATTGTTGTTGTTACTAATATTGCTATTGCCCATCTGGTTGGTGTTGTTGCTATTATTATTGTTGTTGTTGTTATTGTTGCCGGTGGCCATCGCCGCGGTGGTAGAAAATAAAGTTGACTGTTGTGCATGTTTCTTAAACTTTTTATTAATATGTGCTTGCTGCTGTTGTTGCTGTTGTTGCTGCTGCTGTTGCTGTTGCGTGTTTATAATCATTTGATTTTGTATGATTATTTTCTCTCTACGTGCATTCGTCTCGGCTTGCATTACATTTTGATTGCACTCATTTTGAAAGCTGTTTTGCTTTGTTGCGTTACTGTTGTTGTTGTTGTTATTGTTGCTATTGTTTACTGCTCCCGTTGCTGCAGTTGTTGTTGCTGTTATCTTAGTTTCCTCTATTGTTTCCTGTTCCTGTTGTCAATACTGCAAAATATATATGGGAAATTTACATAATTTTTAAAAATAAAAATATTAAATTGAGAAAATTTCTGGAATCTGAAGACTCCATTAAATGGGTGATAAATGGGTGACAAATGTTATAGTGCCTCGATCTCGTCGTTTTCAACAAATAATGAATATCTCCAAAACTCAGATTTTCTTAGCTTTCAAGTGCTCAAGACTCTTCTGACGACAGCATTGCTCTTTGTTTCTTCGGAAATATCCGGATTTGTGTTAAATAAACATAAAAATTTGCGGAAAGTTTTGATTTTCTAATTCAATTACAAGGAAAGTACAGCTAAAGTCCATCTAATGCTTATGGTGAATCTGCGCTAACCGATAAGTCAGGCAGAGAGTGGTTTCGACGCCTCAAAAGTGGTAGTTTTAGCGACGAAGACGAAGAGCCAACCCAAAGAAGGAGTTCAAAGGAATTAGCGGCTTTACTGGATCAAGATCCTTGCCAATTTCGGTGCTGAACGAGCTGAAGCCCAGAAACGTTGAAAGGCAATTATTAAACTAGTAGGTAGTGCTTCTTGAAAGACATAAAATGAAGGCGTTTTTGCTCCAGATCGTGACTGTAGATAGAAAGTCTATATACCGTGAACCCGTTCGATCAACGACTACAGCGGAGCCAAAGAAAGTCATGAGCGGTTCAAAGGTATCTGCATATGGTGGGTCTTGGAGGGGTGTGTTGTACTATGAGCTCCTAAAAACAGGCGAAACCTTTGATGCAACATTTTATCGACTACAACCAACGCATTTGAGCCGTACATGGCGTGAAAAGTGGCCAAAACGAGCGAAAGGCATGACGAGATGATTTTGCAACATGCCAACGCTCGGCCTCCCGTGGGTATAACGTTCAATAAAGACATGGAAACACTGAAATGGGAGGTCTTACTTTACCCCTGTATTCTCCAGTCCTTGGTCCTTCTGACTTTTAGATTTTACGACAGATGCAAAAAGATTTGGGAGTCACCTGTTTCGGGTCTTTCGAAAAGGAATCAAACAATTGCTTAATGGTTGGTTCGAGCGCCAAGAGGACTACATTTTGAGAAACGGCATTCGAAGATTACCAGAGAGAAAAAGTAGTCATGCAGAATAACATATTTTTTGGTTTTTTCCAATAAAAACACACCTTTAAAGACAAAAAACGGATCGAATTCATTTATACTCCTAATATTAAATTTTCATATAATTGATTCAAATTCAAGCCAAATTTAAATTCGAGAAGTGATTTCTTTGTTTTCTTTGGCAGAAACGTAAAAGCTAATTTGTTCAGTGTTTAGATGGAAAAAACAATAAATTTATATCAACTTTGTGGCAACTCTGAGTTTGTATTGATTTTCTTTAAAATCTGGCAACCCTTTACAAAATATTCTCATCATTACTATTATCTTGATCTCAAACACCCACCTCTAAATGGCTCTTGGCATGCAGTGTCCACTCGTCCCGACTCGAAAACATGCGACCGCATAATTCACAAGTCCACGACAGCTGTTGTTGATGATGATGCGGTATTATGATGCCCGGTATGGCTGTGGTTTGTGTACTATGTTGTCCGCTGGTTGTTTGCACTATTATATTTTGTGTGGCCACTTGCACGGCCTGTTGCTGCAGCTGCAATTCCAAATTCTGCTTATTGTCCTCCGGTTCGGGCTCTTTCTTTTTCACCATATTATTTAGACGCTTGCCCAATGGCGCTATATTCGTTGGCGTTACGTGTTTGAATTTATTCATATGAATCACAAGTTTATCGCGTCTGGCGAATGCTTTATTGCACACCTGTAAGCGAGTAGAAGACATTTTGGGTTTTTATTATTTTAAGTTAGAGGATAATCCAATGTTTTTTGTTGGTAAAATTAATTGATTGTTCTTATATACTTCACAAATATAGGGTTTCTCGCCCGTATGTATACGCATGTGTATTGTGAGCTTATCCTTTCTGGCGAGTCCTTTACCGCATACGGTACATTCGAATGCTTTGTTGTTGGGATCTGTTAAAAGAAGGTTGAAAAATTGTATTTTTAATATATAAATAAAAATTCTGATAAAATTCTTAGACAGTATTTTTCATTCTTATTTATATGTATGTACATATATTCGACGGCCTGTAAACGCTATTCAACTTTTAATTGGTAAGAAATTCATTTCGACCCTACTCACTTTTTGATGGATTCGTTTTGCGCACACCCGACGATGCCTGCTGCACCTGTTGTAATGCCTTCAGACGGCTGGCCGGATGCATGGAACCGCCCTCAACGTAGGGTTCGGTGAAGGGTATTAGATTCGGCTTGGGTATATTATAGGTAACATTGTCCGGTGACCAGCTGCCCAAACTTTGTAGTACGCGTACACCGCCCTCGAAACCCATACCCACATCGTCCGGCACGGTGAACGTACTTTCAGCGCCACCCGAACTGGAGGAACTTATTTGTGGTACCTTAATCGTGCTGGCGTAGTGTGCTTGTTGTTGCTGTTGTTGTTGTTGCTGCTGCTGTTGCTGTTGTTGCTGCTGCTGTTGCAATTGCTGCTGTGTCGAATTGTTATTGTTGTTATTATTGTTGTTATTGTTATTGGTTGTGGGCGAATTTTGTTGTTGCTGCGTGGAATTTGTGGACGATTGCTGTTGTTGTTGTTGCTGCTGCTGCTGCTGTTGCTGCTTAAACTGAATTGCCGCCTGCGCCATTTGTTGTTGTACTGCCATATGCGCTTCCAGGTATGCATTTTTCTGAGCTACCGTCATTTTATCCATATTAACGGTACCGTCCTGTAACGAAAAAAAAAAAAGTATTTGATTTATGAGAAAGCGTCACTTAAGTCCAAGTTTATTTACTATCGATAATTATCGAAGCGGCTTTGGCGCCTAAAAGCGACTTTTGTCAGACATTTAAACTTTACGATTTCCTCAACAACAAATCCACTACACACACGTTCCAATACCAAATCGTTTCAAGCGCGCGCTTTTCGCGAAAATCAAGTTCACACTCTCGTACACTTATGCTCACTCTCTGTTTCCAGCTCTCCACTCTCTCCATACACTCACTTTCTGTTTCGTTGTTATTATGTTTTCAAGTACTGAAGAGTGTAAATTTACCCTTGGAATATTTTTTGGGAAGTGAAACATACTTTGGGGCCCATTTCATGACGTTAAATTGTTTTCGTTTATACTTTGAGTTTCTACACACCTGCATACATTTTTTGCTCTAACGGCATCACATTGTGTTGTTTGGTGTTTGTGTGTAATAAAATGAGCTTTTCCTGAAACATTTCATTTGTTTTTCAGTTCAGCAAATATATCCACTCATCGAAATTCGTGGAATTGTATACAAAAATAAGATAATTTGTTAGTGGTTGCAAGAACCACTTAGTATACAGCGAAAGCAAAAAAAGCAACTCATTATGATACTAAAAATAAAATAGAAAAAAATTATATTAAAAAAATCTAAAAAAATAAACTTATATGAAATAAAACAAAATAATAAAAAAATAAAACCAAAGTAAAATAAAATAAATTATAATATGATAAAATAATATAAAAAGAACACAATAAAATGAAATAAATTAAGATAAAATGAAATAAAACAAAAAATAAAAAATTAATTAAACAAACTAAAATAAAAAATAAAAATTTAAACAAAAATAATATAAAATAAAGTAAATTAAAATAAAAATTAATTAAAAAAAATTTAAGTTTCATTAACAAAATAAAATGAAATAATATTTATTTAAAAAAAATAAATAAAATGGCACAAATAATAAAAAACTTAAATTAAAATAAAATAAAATTCCTTAAAACAACATAAAATATGTAAAGTAATATAATAATAATTAAATTAAATATAACAAAATTAAAGAAAATAATGTTAAAAATATAAAATTAAATTAATTTAAATTAAAGAAATTAAAGTTAAAAAAATTAAATAAAATAAACTAAAAAAAATTAAATTAAATTAAGTACTCTTGTATGATATATCATCAGTTTGAATGGTTTGCTGGGTAAGCGCGTTCAATATGTCATTGTTGACTTGAGCTATGAGCATTACATTGTTCCTGTATAGGTATGAGGTGAAAGTGCTTTAGCGATGATTTTATATGCAAAAGCAAAGTAAAAGCGAACATTGCTCCCCGAACAATGAAATAACCTTATGAGGTCCAGCTAAGGACGAAAATACATACAAATTCGTAAGAACTATATACGTATGTAGGTATGTCTAAATCAAAGTGTGTATCGTCCAAAGTAAGCAAAAGTTCGATAAATGTAATATTAAATTTTTATATGAGAATTAATTAAAGTTTTAACAAATTAATATAATTTTTAACAAAATAAATAATAAAAAAACGGGAATTCATGTTACTCCATCACCATTATGTTGTTTATTATCATTATCACATTTTTTAAAATCATCACAAGTTTTTTATTTCATAAGGAGTATTTTTAAGAAAACTTAAAATTTTTATTGAATTTATTGTTTTTAACTTTTATATTTGTAATGTTTATTTCTCGCACAATATTTATTTTTTTCTCTTTGCATTGTAATCTTGCTTTCTTTCACTTGGAGCGCCGCCATTTGTAGGTATACCATTGGGGAGCCAACCGGCAAGTACTTCCGTGGCGGCGCTTTGGCGTTACTACAGCCTGTCGTTGCTTCCTGATTTCAGCGCTCTATCCACAAGGCACACACACATACATATATACACATACAATCTCTCATATAAGTACATTACTTTATTATGTGAAAAATAATTATTTAATGAAAGAATACAAATTATTTAAAAATATATATGTATGTATAAACATAAGTAATTGAAAATGTATTGCATTTATATAATTATGTACCGCTCAAACGCTCACACGACATTAAAACATTTTATCGTTTATTGCGAAAAAAATTCTTATTCACAGTCACAGTCACAATCAAAAAAATCAATCGATATTGTTCTTTATTGGCACTCGCTCTCCTCACAGTCACAGCTTTTCACAAAAGGGATCTTTTTTATTTTTTCAAAATTCACTTTAGAAAAACAACACAGCCAAATTTTTTTTGTATTTCAATCCGTTTGTAATTTCCGACGATTAATTTTCTAAAAAATATCCTTTCTTCAATAGGGAGTAAGTAGTAGCGGTCGTGAGCTATACGGGCAAGTATCTACTTATGAAAAAATTTTCACCATCATCACCTTTTGTTTGTGTATGTATTGCGAAACTGATTTGCCACTCATGGTGTAGTAGCCTTCCGTTTTACTTTTTCGTACATTTGAATTAACATTTGAGTGATTTCGGATTCAGACAGTGGAGCATTGGTCGAAATACTACTTATAATTGCGTTGCATGGGGGGATCGTATCGTATCGTATTGTATCGAAGTGCCTCCACGAAATGGTGGATTTGTTAGCGCTTCGCGCTACCACCCACATCAATGCATCTTGAACGGCCCGGACCGGCCCGGCCCGACCCGACGCGAATCGTAACGTACCCCACCCTCGCTACACCGGCGCTCACTCACTGTCTGCAGCGTATACTAAGCAAATTAAGGCAGCTTAATTGTTTTTGTAAATATTTCATATTTGTTAATCAAAATATTTCTATTTAAATTTGTAAATCTTGCACTCGAATGCGGAAATGAAGTGGAAAAATTAATTTTATTTTTATTATTTTAAATTTGTTTTTTTTTTTTTAACCGAAAATAAGTTTGAAATCTTGCCTCTGCTGTTTGTATTTTTACCGTCCTCAGCGCCGAGACGTTACACCAAAGAATGGCAGGAAGATTTGTATACGCCACCGTCTACAAAGTCATCAAGCGCAATTCGGGAGAGAACAATACGTTTTTCTTGCGCAACTCATCAGCAGCACCGGTGGCGGCCGGCATGAAACCAGCCATTCGCCGGTATTCGTATCCATCGTATCCTTGCGACGCGTCGTCTCCCTACCACAAAAAAATAAATATTGCCCAGCAAAATTTTATGTGAGTATCTACTCATTCATTGCTAACTGAAGTATGCCTTTCTCAACTTTTTCCAAAGTATTTCAGCTCACAATGTATATGCACATTGAATTGTATTTGTCTCGCAGTTGCCGGCCGGTAGCTTGAGGTGGTGGGCGGAATTTATTGGTTGGTGTTTTGGTTTTTCCTTTGTCGTTTTTTTTTTTTGTCGTTCTTACTGGTTCGCATTCCAAAAGTCTCTTGCAACGCGTGGAAGTGAAACAACGCGGAAGGTACTTTGCGAATTGGGGTATAATTAAAGCTTGCAAAAGCTTGGTGTAAATAAGGGTGGCAAGCGATAAACGGAAAAGGCAGTGGTTCTCAAGTTTAAATTTTTGTTAAAAATACATATACCTGAAGAATATTGATGACTTATAAACAAAATCATTGATTTTTTAACGAATTCATTCTCACAAGCACAAGTCTTCTAGTTGAATTCCGATTTGTCAGGTATTAAATCGCAAACTGCACCTTGAAATATCGGAAAGTCGGCAGAAGATTGCATTATGGTGGGTATTTAGATATGGATGGGATAGTCAAAAGCCTCGAAACTATGTGTCTTATACAAATGTGGAACATTTTATATTATGAAATCATAGTTAAGAGTACCCTAGCCGGCTGGGATAGCCGAGTGTTTAGCATTTCGCACTGCCATTCTGAAGACCAGAGCTCGAGTCCTGGTTCGACCTATATCCAAAATTACGGAAAATTAATTATTCTATTTGTGGTCTCCACTCGGTAGGGAATGTCAAGACTTCCCAGTGTATTTTCGACATGAAAACACCATCGATAATGATAACATAATTCTGCAAAACTCTAGAGGATAATAAATGAGAGATAATATGCTCACCAAGAGTTTCTTTCAATAAATTAATTGTTTCCTTGGCTCTATGACATGTAGCGCCGCCTTGCTGGAGCAGAAGATCGGCCAAATCAGCATCCTCTAATTCAGGCACGAAAAATTCATGAATAATGGATCAATAGCTTCCACAATGAGCCTAACATTATGGTCGGCATCATTTTTGAAGAAATATGGGTCTATGATAGCCTCTGCTCATAGAGCACAACAAACGGTGTCTTTCTGAGAATGCAACTCCAAATGCGGCAATTTTTTTTTTTTATTAATGTACCCATTCAACCGAAAGTGAACTTCATTCCCGAACAATATTTTGGAATCGGCAAAGGGTGGACATCTCGTTTTGGGCACATTCACAGAACGTGCTTCGCCACTGACAGTTGTTTGGCTTCAAGTCTAGAGTGAATTGGATTTTGAATGGGTACCGCTGCAATTGTTGCACGTGCTGGCGTATGGACTCATTCGGGTCTTCTTCAATACAGTAGCAAAAACGTCTTCGGCACTATCCACTCCACGGCTTTCGAAGGACTGACGGATTTTCATAAGCGGTTTTTAGTTTATGTCAGTAAAACACTCAGAGAGCTAGACATTCCCTGCTGAGGGGTGACCGTAATTAGAAAGGTTAATTTTCAATAATTTTGGATTTTGATCGGACCAGTACCCGAACCCTTAACTTTCGAATGGGATAACGCACTGCTAATCACTCAGCTACCGTGCACGTAGAGTTGGAAAATGGTAATTAATTTTTTAGTTTGCAAATAACATATTTGGTTATAATAACGAGTTCCATTACAAAATTAGTTAATTGGGCGCCTGTGTGAACAGGAGTAATGATTACATTTAACATCTTCTCATATAAAAAGTATAAACCGATTAAAAAAAATTGCCTTTGCTGTTTGTCATCTAAAAAAAAATATCTATCGGTCTCGAAAACTATCTGATTAGATTAAACAGCATGCGAAATAAGCACTTCTGACCGCACCCAAATGCAAAAATACCATTCTCTTCATATACACACATCTAGGCACACAACACTTTCGGGGCATACGAGTACACTACAACTCACCTGAAAATTAATTGTGGCCGTCACCGCTCTCATCGAATCCGCATAATTTTGCAGAATGTTTTCAATCTGCGTAACTGATTGTTGCCAATCAAAGAGTTGTTCCACTTTGTGTACGCATTGCTCACAGATATTCTTTGGAAGGTAGTCGTCCTTGGTTATCTAAAAAATTGCAGAGAAATACAAACATACAACGACTGTTGATTGACAAACATCTAATAAAGAATTCTAAACAAGAGTCTATGGTCGGTCAATGGTGCTGGTTTTAGCCAGCGCTCAATGCATAAAGGCGCAGCTCGTTCTTAGTTGGTCACTTTCAAATATTTGATTTTATATGATTTTGTGGACTAAGGAACTACTAAAAAATGATGAAATGAGTTAAAGGTAAACTTTAATAAAATTAAAAGAGCAGAAAAAATCAGCTGCAGATATTAACTCATCTTATCGTCTTATGGCAAGCGTCGGACCAATGAACGAGTGGGCTAAGTAAAAAGTAATCCATTATTTTTGCATTAAGTGCAGGCTTTATTTGCCATAGTTGAATTATACGGTTTGTGTCAAATATGCAACGTTTTACTCGAAAACTATTTATCATTTTAAAGATAATATCATAATGCCTCTCATAGAAACCCCCGTCGGTGTTGGCAAAAAACGGGTTAATCGATGCTCACAAACATCTCTTGAGCACAATTCTTCAGAAGCCAAATCATTCACCATATACGGAAACATATGGTAATCCCTTGCTGCGAGGTCCGAACTATAAGGTGAATTTATAGGAACTTCCCAACCCAGCTCCCGGCGATTGTGGCGATTCAATATCGATGCGTGTGGTCTGACGTTGCCCGGATGAAACATGATTTCTCTCCTGTTGGACAAAGCTTAGCGCTTCTGTGCGATTGCTTGCTTCAGACGCCCCAATCAATGTCAGTGCTCGTCCAAATTGAGAGTTTGGCTGTAGAGAAGTAGGTCTTGATGATGATTCCTTCGCGATACTACCAAACAGAGAACAAAACCTTGCTGGGCGTCGCCTCACCGCTCTTCGACCTTGACTGTTTTCGTTTGACCTTGCTGTAAGTGATCCACTTTTCGTCACCAGTTACCCATTGGCTTCAGAAATGTTTCGACTTTGTTTCGCTTCAGCAACGATTCGCAGATATAAACTCGGCCCATTTAGTTTTTTTCTCGTTAATTCAAGTGTCATCCATACAACGAACTTCTTTGTTAGTGGTTCTAAGATGTTTTGCTAGTGGTTCTAAGATGTTTTTGGTGCAATGCTTAGCTCTTGGGAAATTGAAACACTGCTCGCATGACGGTCACACTCGATGATTTACATTATTTTACCGCCACTTGTTGAGAGGCCTTCCACATCGAAGAGCATTTAATGCACCAAAGTTTCAGGAACGAAGTCGACGAAAGGAACATTGTGTTACAGCGGCAGGACCATTAAAATTATTTCCTTTTTTGCTTTTTGACTTACGTTTTCGCCTGCACTGAGGAAAAATTTCTGGAAAATAGCGTTTTTTCTCATTAGTGGTGTCTATCTTTGAGTCGTGATCACTCTTAAGTTAAGTGATCAACACTTCTAGAGTATCCGTTTTAGTAAAACAAATCATCTTTCTAACGCCATCTAGCAAAGTCGAATCCTACTTATAGAACGCGAGATACCCAACACCAAAACTAAAGACATCGATTTCTAAAATAATGGATTACTTTTTACTAGATATTTAGAAATTTAATTTTGAAATTTTTTTATTTTTTTCGTATGTTCTTCATTTTGTTGCGTTGAAAAACTTGAAAAAAGTGGAAAATATCTACTAATTAATAGTTTCATTAATTCTTTGTTGATTTTCAAAATTTTTATAAGTTTTATTAATTTTTCGAAAAAAAAAAAAGTTTGGGAGTCAAACAAAAAAATTCAAATATTATGAATTTGTTTTAAATAAAATAAAAGTTGGATGAATTAATTTCAATACAACTTCGCTTTCGTCATCAAAATTTCCAAACCATATATATATATGTATGTATGTGGACATGGATATGTGCATTGGGTATAAAAAGTGTAACCTGCTTGTCCATGTTGTAAATAAAACTAAAGCCATAAGTCATGAAAGCAAGAAAAAATAAAAACATTTGCCACCAAGTCATGTTCAACAAGCACACCAACCACACCATCGCCCTCGGTAGGCAACATTTTTTTTTTTTTTGAAATTTGCAACTTTAGAAGCAGAATTGTTGGCGCGTTGGCGCGTTGGTGACTTGGAGGCTTGGTGGCATGTGGCATGTGGCATCAGACTGGTCGCTTTAAACCGCAGAATATGAAGTGAAAAAATACATAGTTTTTTTTACTAACATTTGTTGACATTAACGTGCGCAGTTTGTAGACCAAATTCCTTTGCTCCGCCTCCTTTTCGAAGAGATGAATTTTGGCGGGACCATTTCGTATTGAACAGAGGCGGCAAAGTTCAGCGAATGTGGTGAAGTTCAAGTCGCCGTTATATGCTTGTTGTTGTACTTGCTGTTGTTGCTGCTGCTGCTGTTGTTGTTGTTGAAGATGTTGGTGTTGCTGTTGCTGCTGCTGTGTGCTGTGTTGTTGATGCTGCTGGTGCTGTTGCTGCTGATGCTGATGTTGTTGGTGTTGCGCGTGGTGTTGTTGTGTAGATTGTGATTGTTGTTGTTGTTGTGATTGTTGTGTATTGTTTGCGCTCAACATAACTAGATTTTTTTTTTTTTTTTGGTTTTGCTTCTTTAGTTTTGTTTTGATTTTTTTATCACCTCTTTTCTATGTACTAACGTTCTCAGAGGCACACAAGTGCCCTAATTGTTGTTGGACATTATGTGTATTCCGCAAAAGTCTTGCTAGCGAATCTGAAAATGTGCAGAAGTTATAAATTTGATTTTTCAGGAAATATAAATAAATGTATGCTTTACATACAAACACACACATATGTATGTATGTATATGTGTACATATTAAAGAAAAAAGTGAAAAAAATCACTTTTATGTGCAAAATTTTTAATGAAACAGAAGGGAGTTACTCCGGTTCAATGATAGCTCGGTTCACGCAACGAATAACACCCAGCAGAGTCCGTGATTCCTACCACGATGGATAAGTTTCGCACCCATTTTACTCTATTGGACATTGTGGAGCAGAGCACCGAAGAGGACCAGAATGGAGCTTTCGCCGACGTGGCCAACAATTAGAGCTAAAGCCAGAAGATTTTGCGAAAGCAATTGGTTTTGAGGGCTTAAAAAGTCGAACTTGACCAAGAGTTGAGGCCGAAAAATATTAAGTATGACCACCGATGCCGAAATTTTCTTCAGAGACATCCTTAAAAATTCACTTTTCGGTAAGCCAGATGAGCAAAGGAAATCAAAGATCCATATTTCTTAAAAGATTAAGCCGGCCAAACTATTGCACAATGGAAATAACTCTAGCGGCATGATGAAAGACTTTTTCTAGCCTAAATTGGAGCAAGTTGTTGTGAACGACCTTTGGTTGCACCCATACATGCCATTCAGCCCACGAAGCAAACAATTTATTGTAGAAAGCTTTTGGTGAGCGCATTATCTACTGTCGTGGGACTGTTACGTCTCCTCAAAGATCGTGTGATTTAACATCGCTGTATTATTTATTGTAGGGTTATGTGAAGTCGCTTATCTACGCATATAAGTTCGAGACGATATACGCCCTGGAAAAGATTATTATTGCATTAAAAAATGGTCGAAAGCTGGTATATATTCGAGCCCGTCGCGGCGGTCACTTGACTGAAGTCATTTGTAATAACTGCAAATCCTGATCTTTAGAATAATGAAATATACTTGGCCATAACATTAAATAATATGCGTCTAAAAAACACCCTTTGTCTTCTGCAGACACTCGGCGTAATCTGTTTTTGAGTAAACATTTTTTTCGAAAAACATATGGTAAACAGTACGAGATATGTGGCTGGATTCCTAATTATAACGGCGACTTGTAATTTGAAAACACAAACTGTAAAAGTCATCGAAGCAGATGAAAACATTAAAAGAGAAATTCCTCCATCCCATTAAATAGTCCATTAAGAATAATAAGGAGAGGAGATTATACACAATAATATCGTCTAGTTGATCTTATGGACAGCTGTTTGAGAAGATTTTCCAATATAAAATATTCTTAAATCATTTCACTGATTCTTCCACCGAACGGGAAGATGCTAGCCTTCGAGATTGTTTCTAAGTATGAGTGTTTGGAATCCAACAATACCTATTGCTCCTGGTAAATAATTGTCTATAGTCTTATATTCCTACATAAAAGCATCTCATACATTGTCTCTGGCTGCTTTTTTGAATGAACACGACTTCCAAGGTACGGGGCCTAAACCCATACTGAACAAATTGCTGAAGCCTTAGCATTGGAAAGCTTGCAACCACCTGATCGCTGAAAAGAGATTTGTTGGTTGTCAAATTTCTCAAGTGACTCTCCAAGTTCTTCCTCCAATCTGTAGTTTTGCGTATTGATGTTTTTCCAACAAATGATGGACTTTTATAAGGAGCGTTTCATGTCAGAAATACACTCGGAGGGCTTGACATTCCCTGCCGAGGGGCGACCGCAATTAGAAAATTTAACTTAATTTGAACCCGTGCTGTCCGATATTCCAAAATGGTATTTGCTGAGACAATGATTGAATACGACGTTGCCACGACGGCCTCAATGGCCGATTGGTTAGCATTGCATACTGCCATTGACAAGGCCATGGTTCGAATCTTGGTTCGACCAACATCCAAAATTATAGAAAATTAATACTTCTAATTGTGGTTATGAGATTATATCTAGCAAGAAGTAAAATCTTCTCACAAAAATCTATCGGCCATTCGGAGGCGGTTTAGAATAAAATGTAGTTCCCTCCATTTATTGGAAAAACATCAAGACGCAAAACCACAAATGGGAAGAGGAGCCAAAAATTGCGCCTGCAGTTATAACAAGCCAATGATATATATATATATATATATATATATGTATGTAAATATATATATATTTATACACACATTAAGAAAAAGGAGAGCTATCTCTAAAGAAATAAGAAAGTCCGCCGCATTTAATGCTGGCCGATGTTACGACTGTACGACAAGCCATCTACTGACTATTATTTCTACCAGTGTACTGCACTTGTCATTCGTTAGCCCATGCACATACAGATATGTATTGTATCTACTAAATACCCCGATAATCGGCTGATGCAACTTTGACTAACCACAGTAGCACACTGTAGCGAGGGCAATGAGCTGTGAACTGACAGGGCGAATGGATGACAAAATCATAAATAAACACGGACGTAAAAGAAGTGAAAAGGGTTTAGGCGATTGCAACTACATTCACATACGTATGCATAGTATATGGGCACAGTGAGAGCGCGGCATATATAAATTTACATTATGCATGCACTTCTGAAATTGAAGGTGTAGCATTGAGCGCCCGTCGACAGCACAACACACCCACTAACCTTGGCGAAAAATCGATATTGCACTTTTCCAATGACACAAAATTCACAAAATGCCACCACAGCGTTAGCGCCGAGGGGTACACATAAAGTGGGAATTTGTGGGTTTTAAATATGCACTTCACCAAATTTTCACATCTTAATATCATAGAATTCAGGAAAGGAGCGAAGGCATCGACCAGCCCATTTACCTTACTTTTCTTCCTTAAGTGTTTGTTTACTTATTCCAATGGCACAGCGGGAGGCGATGGTAAGAGTACACTGCAGAGGAATTTGTCATTTCATGTTCACATTACGCCCCACTAGAATGCAATTGCTGTTGTTACCGCTGCCAGCAAGGATTATGACCAATTGTATGGAACATTGCAGTGAAATATTTGCATTTTACTATTTTTTACACGCACACACACACACACACAAACAAACTTAATCACAGTTGGAATATTTTATTTATTATTTTTACTATTCTCACATTTCCTTTTCTTCAATTTGTTTCCTTCTTTTATTATTTATTTTGCACTGCTGCAATTTCACTTCTCAAACCACTTGAAAATCGCTGCACAGTGAACTTCTTCTTCAAATTTGTTTGACAATTTTTTTATTTTTTTCATCATCCAATTTCTGCAAATGTACACTGGAAATAATTTCAATTGATTTACATTCGTTATTGTTGTTGTTTGTATTGCTGCATAACTGCACTTCACACTCAGCAATTGCAATGCGGCAGTTAAGAGCTGATGACCAATGAAATTTCCGGCCTACTGCCTTCCTGCTGACAGCTGGCCGCCACCTCCAACTGCTGTTGCAAATGCACTAATGTCAAAATAGCATGTCCAAAAAGTTACAGTTATCTGACGATACGAGAGTGGGTGTTTGAAAAGCTCACCCTGACAAAATCCATTGATATTTCCGCGTATGCGCAGTGAATGGAAAGGAGAGTGCAACAACGAAGGGGGTGACGGAATGTCACTTTTTGGTAAGCGTTTATGAAATGTTATAGTAAATTTGGCGCACAAAATGTAAGAATTTAGTGTTAAATATATGTTCTGTGTGTATAATTAATAATTAAATGTTTCCAAATATAATATAATATAATAATGTGAATAAAAGCCGCCGGGTTTCAAGAAGTGCATTCAAATTTTAGTTCTTGCCCTAACATTTGTCATATTGTGCTTCCTCGAACTGTCAAAAAAGCCAACAGGTTGGCCATTAATTGATTTGATTTCTGCACTCTCCTTCTTTTTTTTTGGAATACGAGAATACAGAGTCTTTTGGCGGTATCCAACGGGAGAAGTTATATACATACCAAACATACATATGTACATAGACAAATATGAGTACGCCTTACCGTAAAATATCCAATTGGATGGAATAAATACAAGTTTGCTAGTAGTAATTCCTAACTGAGTTTGTAACAGTCCAAAAAATAACAAATTAATTATAATTCCTTTTGTTAGAAGTTATTCATTTGAAAACATAAAATTTTATTTTATTGAAAACTTACTATCAATTAAATTCAGGATATTGCTGTGATATTTGCGAAAATTTAATATTTGACTTTATAAGATAAGAAATATATAATAAATCAGTAATGAACAATAATAAAATATAAAATAAAAATACATAAAATATAATATATAATATATAATAACAAATATATACAATATATATATATATAATATATAAGAAAAAAAGAAAAAAAAGCATTAATAAAGCAAGAAAAATATAAAAATATGCAGAAGAACTATTTACTAAAACTATATATACATATATATAAATTTTAATATATATAAAATAAAATAAAATAAAAAAAATATAAAAAAATAAAATAAAATAAAATAAAATCAAAGAAAATAAAACAAAATAAAATAAAATAAAATAAAATAAAAAATGAAATAAAAAAGATAAAAAAAAAAAATAAATTATAATAAAATAACATAAAATAAAAAATGGAATTAAATAAAACAAAATAGAATGAAATAAAACAAAACAAAATAAAATAGAAAAAGAAAAGAAAAAATAAAAAACACAAAATTAAATTAAATAAAACTGTATTAAATTAAATGAAATAAAATAAATAAATCAAAATAAAAGAAAAAAATTGTAAAATAAAAAGAAATGAAATAAAATTGAATAAAAAATGAAATTAAATATAATAAAAGAAAATGGAATGAAATAAAAGAAAACAAGACAAAATAAATAAAACAAAATAAAATTGAATTAAATGAAATAAAATAAATAAAAAAAAAAGAAAATAAAATAAAGTAAATTAAATTTAAAAAAGTAAAATAAATTAAAATTAAATTAAATTAAATAAAACAAAATAAAATTAAGTAAAAGAACACAAAATAAATTATAATGAAATGAAATGAAATAAATAATATAAAATAAAGTAAAATAAAACAAAGCAAAATAAATTAAAATAAAACAATTACATAATAAAATTAAAAAAATATATTTATACATATGTATATAATTAAGAAAATCAAAAACAAGAAAGAAGTTCCTTCGTGAGTGTTTCAATATATTGGATTCGATTTCGATGATTGTCAGTCAATATATACTGTGTAATACCAAATTCCACGACCTGAAATTTTTTTTACCCAAAATCGCAAATTTTAAGAATCGGTCGTTTATGCATGTATATGTTTAGTAGTCCAATCAGGCCGGTTGCGAGGAATATTCGAGGTAAGGTTCATCGGCATACTTAGGCTACTAATCGACCCCATTGTCATACCACTGAAGAGACCATTTAATCCCCATCCGCTAGTCAAACTAACGCCAGAAGTTAAAAACGGTACTTTGCACCCGCCATGGTTTGAAGTCCGCCACATGTTCTTCCTACTCTCTACAACTCCTGCAGAAGTCATTTAATCGTACGACCAGTCTTTCTGTGTGCCTACCTACATACGATACTTCAGACCAAACAAATAATAACAAAATTAAAATAGGTTAAAAAACTATGTTATAAAATATTTTTTTTATTGCCTTTAATTCCTTTTTTATATTTCGACCAAAAACTGAATTCCTTTGTCCATTTTAAAATAAATATATTGGTCATAATATTTCCGACCGAGGCCTGGCGAAACTTCGGGAAAAGAGAATTGCCAGACTAGCTTCGCATCCTACTTTCGAAGTAGTTATGAACTGGTTCAAGATTAGTCTCACACGCTATGGGCGTTATTTCCAATCTTTAAGTAGAGGATATTATCTATGACCTCAAAGTTATGACTATCACAAAAAGTCTTGGAGACGTTCTTTCCAGTTATGTTGGTGGGTAGTGTACTCGTATGCAGATACAAGTAGTAGATTTTTGAGGCTAGAAAATCCCAGAAAGAACAATGGCAGTCAGAACATGGGATCCCTGACCATAAAGGTATATCTAATATAATATGTTGATAAGTATTTGCCTCCATAATAAGAAAACAAACTTCCATTCTGCACTCGAAACACGACTATTTAGATTCAAAAATGTAATATTATTTCGAAGAATAAAACCAAATATATTTGTGGGAAAATTTCCTGGGCTCACTCTGTCATTAGCACTTGTTCCTCCTCACCTTCCGCTTCGTTAATCATCTCCATTTCCCTGCCACCGGCACCACCATAAGGTAGTACTTTACGCATTTGCTCTTCATCAGCGAGTATTTCTGCTTTCCACTGTCTTATGTGATCCTCACATATCTGCATACACATTTCATCCTCACATTCTTCTTCCTCCTCTTCAATTCTATTCCGTAGCGGTGCAATTTTTGGCGCGAAAAGCTTAACCGCTCTTTCAGCGTTCTTACATTCATCCTCGGTACTGACTTCGGCATCTGTGCGTTCGAACGGACGACAGGTCATACACGATGAACTGCTCATTATAACCGAAGCACCAGATGAGGAACACGTGGAGGGCAACGACACATCTGTTGAAACAGGTTCACCGCCAGCGCCGTCAGTATGAAAGGTACAAGGTTTCACCGCAGTTGGTGTCAATAAATTGACTTGTTGCGATTTGTCTTCAAGGAAAAGTGAGCCCTTCGTTGCACAGGCATTGCTTATAATGGGCAATTCGGAGTTTTGTAGTGTCAACCACTCAGCCAATTGCACCTTCCAGCTCTTCGTTTCATCGGTTGACTTTTGTGCTATTTCATAGAGTTGGCCAATGAATGGGCCCATGAAAGTATTAGCAGTGAATTTATGTCGCTTAAAGAATGGCACGGGCTCGGGTATGTCTGTGGAGAGATAGGTGTAATGAAAACAAGCCACGAATGGACTGATATTTCTTTACAATTTGGAAAAATGAAACTTATTTCGCGATTCGCGCACTCCAAACTCCTTGAGACATGCACATTGCGCTCCATTTCGACAGAGGTGGTGCTGTGGGGGCAGAGAAGTTAAGCTTTTTAATACACATTATCTTCTCTTTGCAGACTTGCAGACTTTACAAATAGCAGACCATCGTGCATATTAAATCTTCAACCGCATTTTCTTTAGTCAATATGAAAGCCTCGCTGTTGCCTTTGGAGAGTAAGATAACTTGTAACATAAAATCGTTATCTTCCGCCAGCGAATTATAAAACTCCGCAGCTGTCTCGGGTGAAAAAAGTATCTTCCGTTGACCCTTGATCAGGAATTCACGCTGCAACAAATACAACAAGACTGGCTTGCACTTGAGCATGTAGTCGGCCTTTATGATGAGCAGCGTATCTTCGAACATGATAAAAATTGCCTTTTACTTTTAAAAATATATGTATATTTATGTATTTATGTAAGAATGTGAATTGTATAGGAGAAAAATATTAACGTTTAAAAATTATGAATTTGAAAATCGATAAAAAAAAATGATAATTGAAAGTTACTATTGTCTGGCTTTCGAAAGCGTATCGTGCATATGAAAGGGTACCAGTTTAAGTTGCTTCTACTCGCCAATGCGAAAATGTGGAACACGCTTTGGAAAGAAGCTGAAAGTTTTCTTGAATTTTCTCAATTGGTATTGGGAGGAAGGAAAAATTTTTTTTTCGATTAGCAATCAAACGGTCAAAGAAATCTTTTCTCAAAGCTCACAACTGAAGATGACCCGCAGATGATTTCCTGCGTTTCCTTGAAGAGCTTACTGGTACTGCTAATGTTCTCTTCTATAGTAGAGTGTCTCTAGTGTAGAGTTTCTCCATGGCTCGAAGTCAACTGAGCTCTACTTCCAATCGAATTCTATGCCTTTGCAGTTATGCTTTTCATTAGGATTTTCGACCTGCAAGTTTGCTCTTTTGTGCAATATTACTTCAGAGCAATTCTAGGCTTTCTATCGAAAAGAAAATGAAAACATCTTGAAATCTTGTAAAGTATAAAGGAGGACTTAGTGATCTGATATAACATGGAAGTGCCAGTATACCGCTTTGAGACTGCTATGGCGATTCCCAAAACCCTCTCTGAAGCAAGGACAAAATTTTGCTTATCCTTGAAACGAATATAGGCCGGACTTTAGAGAGTGGGGGTCTTAATTCATAATAGGACTTACAAAAGGCGGCTTATGTAATATTGCTGCACACTTTGATTATTTTTGGAAAGAGATTCGCGAAGCGGAAGATGTAGAAAGAAATTGTGGCGGCATAAATAAACTTTTCTATCACAAACGAAGCTTTTTGCCTGCCAATATAGTGATCAAATCCGATGTGCATAATAATAAAAAGGATCAAGAGTTGCCTTAACACATCTTACAGCTGTATGTGTTGACCTAAGCCGGATTAGCTCGCCGAAAAGGCGATAACTTTTGATGGGATGAAGTACGAGTCAACTCTAGTACGGCGGGTCGGTCGGTTTACCTCATCAGGGTACTCGATTTGGCTGTGGTCCCACTAATGAAGCCCACAAACAAAGAGAAGTATTATGTTCCTATATCTCCCCGTTACCTGGTTGTGAAAACGCTAGATAGTGGCGCTCGAATACACATCAGCACGGCTTTTTCATCGGACACCATCCGCGAAACGTAAATAACTTGTGTCCGCAATTAGAACCGACTCTATGTGGGAGCTTTCTTGACACCATTGGAACAATCGAAAAGCTTCGGCACAGTTAACAACACACTACTACAATCAAAAAGTTAACCCTGAATTATTTAAGTTTCGAAGTAAGAAATCTGCAATCAAAAAACTTATACTAAGGATTCCGCAGAGATACAAGGGCAAATACAAGGAGAATATTAAAATTGGCTCTGACTCTCCAAATCCGCAGACAAGGAGTACCAGTTTGGGTAGAATGTTAAGGGCGAGAATCTGAAAATTCTGAGCACATAAAGTAAAAAACTTGTGTGCATACACCGCAATTCATCAAATTAGGAACTTACGAAGCTGTCAAAATACCAAGTTTATGCTCTCAATCAAATTAAATTCCATAAGGTTGTTGTTGTTGTTGTAGCAGTTCGTTAACCCCGTTTAAGAACAGGTTAATAAATGTAAGTCACCGAGGTCATCTAACTTGAGGTTCAAGAAAAATGATGTTTCGACGGGATCAGACCAGACGGAAAAAAGGGTTCTATGCTTCGGTTTTAGGGGACCCATAAAGAGGTTAGTCTCGTACGGATACTCTCTACATGCAGGACATACGTTGGGTCTTTTAGGGTCAGTCTGGATAGGTAGGAGTTCGTATATAGACGTTGCGCCAGTCTCACGCGGGTGTCTCGAGGCAGTTCGAGCTCTGAGCCTACTGTGGGTGATGTTTTTACTTCGAGTACGCCATTCACGGGAAGGGAGTCTTTAAATGTGTTGACTGACTACTGGTGAATGGCGTTCAGTGACTATTTGTATGCCGTTGTTGTTGTTGTTGTAGCGACTACGTTAACCCCCACTCAGGGGCAGGTTTAAAATCAATCTAAGTCACCAAGGTCATCCAGCGACTACAACTCTCAAGATAGCCGGTTCGGCCAAGGGCTGTCACCCTTTCGGCGACCTAACCCCGTTTATCTCAGCAAGTCTTGTCCAGCGGATGTTGAGCATGTTGCTGGATGATGATCTTCATGTCTAGTACTTCCTTTTTAATGTGTCTGGATGGAGGTTCAGCTTCAAAAAGATACCTATTGGGGTGCTCCCATAAGGTAATGAGCATCTGCTGTGTTGTTTCCGAAAAAACCAGCATTACAGCTACCTGCTCGCATCATATCCGCCCAAGGCACATCAGGAGACACTCATATGACTACACATACTCAATACATCAATATTCGAAAGAAACAGTGAATGCGATCAAATCTCTTCATTTGAATAGTGAATTTTAGCATAAGCACAACGTATGGCAGACGAATAGTACCCGGAATATTCTGAGGAATAGATTTTGATTTATTCAGACTTGACTCTGTTGAACAAAAAATATGTCAAACTTGCCATTACTCCCCGCACAATTCTAGTCACCTCTGTACAGGTGTTTTTGAGCCAACACATTAAACACCCCCCCTTTTCCAGTTGAATGAAAGGCCTGTACCTGATGTTAGAAGGCCTCATCACAGTTTTCTTGCTTCTAAGCGACTTTTGTGGTCGACTTTGACAACAACAACCAAATACTTACCTTTACTTATGCCATATACATACTTATGTTGTAGTAAAAAAAAACTCTGACAATTTTATGTTATTAAATTTTAAAATATAATTTTATTTCATCATTTACTAATAACATTACACATTCCATCATATCGTCAATTAAGTGGAATTCTATAATAGAAAAAATCTTTCAATCCGAATGTCACATGCAGACTTAACCGGGAGCTTTCAGTACTTTTCATTATATACTTATATAGAGTGATATCATCGATTTAGTTTGGTTGTTTTTCTTTTTTTTTTAACTCAGTGCCGCTTAAAATATATGCTGTATATATATCTATATATTTTAATGTGTATTTATAAACTGTTTTTTTTTTATCGACAATATAAAATATATTGTTGAGTTACCAAAATAAAATAAAAACTGCGCTATTTGTAATTAACACCGTTTCTTTGCCAAATTTCACACGAAAAAAACTGATGTCATAATAAATTGATTCCCTTTGACTTAGCGCAAATAATTAATTAATCGAACGTTACATATATTCAGAATGTGAATATGTAAAAGCGAAATTTAATTACCATTTCTTTTTAATAATAAAAAATAAATTTCATCGTTGTTTTACACATATATCCGTAAGTATGTCTTGTAAGTTTGTATGATTATGTGTATGAAATAAGAGTTGGAAAAATAGTTCACAGATTTAATTAAAACGTAAAGTAAGGTAAATAATGGTTGACATTATAAGAAGTTAACCGCATCACAATTAATCATCATTGGCCGCCAACATCGTATTTATATATTTATTAAACTTTCGAGCAACGCGCGGTAATTTAAGCTGAAAACGATTAAAAAAAATTAATATATTAATTAAAAATTATATTAAACAAACTTACCGGCAACTTTGGCAAAAGCCAAACTGGATTTTTCACCGTTGAAACACTTGCCAATCTTCGCACAAATGCTCGATTCATCGCTCTCACCGCTACGTGCAAGATTCAAGATGCTTTGTCCGTAAGTTCTGATCATACGGTGGCACTACAAAACAAACAAAAAATTGTAGCATAATAATTTTAAACAATTTCGAAAGTTGTATACCAACAAACTTACAATATCGTAATATTTAGCCGAAAGTGATTGACAGCCTTCCAAAAGCATATAATATTCAGTAATGGCCTCATGATCCAAATGCTGTTTGAAGTATGGCAATAGAGCAGAGGTGGCGCCATGGCAAACACCACATTCAATGACCTCATCTGTGGCAGGTGTAAAAGAAAATCAATTTTTTAATTATTTTTTCATTTTTATAAACAATTTTTATTGGTCACCTACCGCTCACAACAGCCAAGCCGGTGAAACACAACTGCATTTCCTGGCACATCATTTTTGGTGGCACGCTACCGATCATTGCCAAAATTGTGTTGATATATTGATCAATGAATTTGTTGCAACTCTTTGCAACGGTTTTAGGCATTATTTTACAAATACCTTCGACGGTATGTTTAATTTCATCTTGTGTTGTTGCATTCTTTAGTTCAGCCTCCAATTTGGTCATAACAAATTCACAGAGCACACAAGATGGCGGATCCTTGACCATATCATCTAAACCGGTGAGACGTTCATTGTAGTTGGGCATGCGGTGATCGGGTAATACGACGACATCGTATTTCAGTGCTTCATCGATATCCACTGCAAAAGTTTAAAATCAATTAAAGTATATTTGATATATCTTTTTACAAAATTTATTTAGCTTACAATCCTCTTGCTCGCTCCAAATACATAGGCCAATCTCACGGCAAATCACCTTTGGTGCCATTTCCTTAACCAACAAATCGGCAATTTTATCACCATATTTATCTACATATTTATGGCACTTCTCACGCACATTTTTGCGTAATTTATCGCATGACTGATCCAAGGCATGTTTGATATCATCCTGGTAATATGGGAAAAAGTAAAAGAAATTTAAGTAAATAAATTTAAATTCTTTAAATTGTATTTTATTAAAGAAGGCAAATCGAAATGATTTGGTTATTAATAAGAAAATATTAAAAGCAATAGATAATAAGAATTCATACCTTGGTCGTGTGTTTGCCGATTCTCTTCTCAGCAATCTTAATGAATTCCTCACACAACAAACAATTTGGCGCCGGTGCATATCCCAAAGCAACTTCAACCGATTCCTTACTATCGATTTCGTTTTCACCTTTTATAATTAAACCAAAAAATAAATCAAAATCTTTATTTCTTTTCGAATGCAGCACACTTACCATCTTCATGACTCTTATCGCCCAAACTAATGCCCAAGTCCTCCAGCGAGTCACCAGAGCTTTGACATAATTTCACGGCTACACAAATTTCTTGTGGCGTAAAGTCGGTGATCAACATATCAACCAACTCATTTGAATAGCTTTCAACAAAGTCAACGCATTCGGTTTTCAATTTAGTTGGCAAATGTACACACAAATGATCCAGCACGTTCTTGATGTTCGTCTACATTTGAAAAAAAAAGTAAATATGTAAATAGCATGAAAAACTAGTACATAACGAGTTGCCAGTTTGAAAAGTACCTTAGACTTATCGTCCTTAATCTTAATTTGAGCCTGTTCAACAGCGAATAAGCATAGCGGGCATGTAGGTTTGTCGCTCAAATCCTTTGGTTGTACTACCGGCTTGGAAGTTTCTGGCGCGAATATTTCAACATCATCGAAATTCTCATGGTTGGGTGGGCACATTGCTAGTTTGGGACAGATTTCACGTGGATTTAAGCCTTGAATGAGCAATGCAATAACAGCATCACCATACATATCAATGAAATTGTGGCATTCACCGCGTAGTGTGTGACCTAAACGATTGCAAATGCTGTTTACAACATCCTTGACTTTGTCCTAAGAAAATAAAAAGAAAGTAAAAAGTGTAATGATTATTGATTTATGTATAAGGCATGATTTATGACATGCGCAACATGTCTTAATTACCTCAGTGGTTGGTGTGGATAGCTCCACTTGTATGTAATGCAACACATATTCACAGAAAGTGCACAACTCGCCGTTCTCCACCAGCAAGTTGGGATTTGCAGCGCCCATTAGCGTATCGATTGGCAAAGTCATAGAGTGTATTTCTTCTTGTGTGAATTTCGGTTCGTTTGCCCCCAATTTACGCAATGTAACCTTAATCTCAGCTGGTGGTAAGATAGGCAACATTGGTCTGATCTCACCCTTGAACGCTTCACCACTACCTTTGGGGCATACGCCAATCAAGAAGCATGCGCCACTAGCATCTAAATTATTTACCAAAGCATTATAGATAACATCGTAGTATTGTTCCACCAAGCTGTTGCATTCATCACGGAAACCCTTCGTTTGATTGCATAGACCATGCAGTACCTGTTTGAATTCAGATTCGGTTGTGTTGGCAATCAGCACATCGCGTAAATGTTGCACTAATTGTTCGCATAATTTGCAAGGTATATCATCACCCAAAGTGCTTGCAAGTGCCACTGCATCTTCTTGTTCCACTGGATCTTCGGCATGTTTGTGATAATTGGCAACGCATGAGCCAGACATGTGACAAATGCCAGCAGCATTCAAGTTCTTCTTCGCATGCTCGTAAATATCATTGAAATAGGTTAGGACAATATTGGAGCAGGCGTCAGAGAAGGATGACATTTCGCCGCATAAATGTAAAATGTTTTCAAGTATATCATCGCGATTGGCTTTATTGAATTTCTCGGTGATAAGTGAACCCAAGTGATTGCAATTGCCGCAAGTTAACAAGTGTTGTTGTTGGCTAGTTGTAGTAGCGACGCCTTGTTCCTTGTTTTCAACTGATTCTTTGGTTTCCTTGGACTCAGTCAAATCGTCATCTTCTTTCAATGTGCCCTCCAAGGCTGCTGTATAGTAGAATTTCAACAATTCATCGATGCGTGCATTATTGCAAAGACCAGCAACGGAGCAAACTTGCTATAAATGGATGGAAGAAACATATTAAATACAAAGTAAATATCAATATGCACACATAGTATGTATGTAAGTATTTTAAATAATTTTCAATTTCCCCTCTTACATCTGGATTCATTTCAGAAGACAAAGCCTCAACCAATTCGGGCACAAAGTCATCAGCCAATTTGGTGCATTCTTTTTTCACAATCTTTATCGGTATGAGATTGCAAGAGCCCTCGAACACTTCCTTTAGCTCCTCCATGGTCTCATTGCTGCGCAATTGGTCACGTGCTTGTGTTACCATATCTTTGCATATTTTGCAAATGGAATCATCATCGACCTCAACATTTTGTTTTTCCCACACAGTTTGTATGCAGTGACGCACAGCATGACAACCTTTTGCATTTCTGTTAAAGAAAATCAAATAAAGAAATGATTAAAATTTTGTGAAATATATGTAAAACGTATTATATGTATGTACATATATGCCAATAGTGTTGAGGAGCTCTGGGCGGTAAGGCAAGAAGGTTGACTTTTACTCACAACCATTTTTTATTGTTATGGTTTGTATTATAATCAGTAAATAAGTAAGATAACGACGAGCCGTTCGAAAAACGGTGCAAATACATACATACATACATATGTGCATCACAGCTTTACATTTATCCCTGTATATATGTGACTTTATTTGCATGCAATATCGTATACAACACATTTTTTAGTGGAAGAATCATATGTATGTACATATATAATATATTGTACGTAAGTATATTGAAATATTCTTGAGAAAATGGATAAATAATTATAATAAAATAATCAATAATAATAAGCAATCATAATAAATTATGAATAATAAGGATCCCTGCAGGTTAGGGGTTCAAGAATTTACCCGCTGTAAGGCATGTCTGTCGTACGAGGCGACTAAAATCCAATAGTTCCCGCGACAGTCGGGTCTTTAAGCCGGAACGACCCGGATTTTTTATCCGGCCAAGGACTGTCACACTTCCGCAAAATTCCCCAAAGGCGAATATTTTTGTGATCATAACAACAACAATAACAACAATAATAATAATAACAACAATAACAACAACGACAAAGACAACAACAACAACAACAACAACAACAACAACATGAATACTTTATTTACATAATAATAAAACGTTTTTCTTATTGTTTACTCAAATTTAATGTGCTTGGCCTTCCATAACAAAATTTCGTTCAAATTTTTTTTCTTAAAAAGTGATATGACATGGCGTTATACATCGAACCAGCATTATATCAATTATTTTTCCACATGGAAAAAACATTAAAAACAAATTTTGAAAAAAATAAAAAAATATTAAAAAAAAATTTTTTTTTAATTTGTTTAAAAATATTAAAAAGATTTTTCAATTAAATAACCATGAAGAAAATGAGGAGAATCTATCACAACTTCACGCTGGAAGAAACAATTAAATAGAATTTAAAAAAATTTTGTTTGACTTCCTAAAAGTTAAGACTTTTAATTCTGTTAAAATAGTTCCGATACACTTTAATCGAACTAGTGCGAGTATTTGAATAATTGAAAGACAAGGACTACTCCCTTCTACTTTCTAATGCAAGACGAATATACCATACCACTTAGGGCTGCAAACTAATTTTCTTTAAAGAAATTTTATATGAAATCGTCCCAATTTGAAACTATTTAAAGTCAATAAACTTTAGCTTACTTAATATATATTACACAAACAACGCTCGGCTGCCATGTACATACATATACTAAATATGTAAGTACATATATACAAGTATGTATATGTACGAGTATGTATATGTACGAGTAAGTACGTATATGCATTATCGAAGCCATGAGATGCAAAATCGTGTCAAAAGAGAATAATAATAGTGATAAGCGATTGGATTGGAAAATATTTTAAATACACTAACTTCTATAAAACAATACTTACACAACTACACGTACAATCAGAGTACATAATTCAGTTCAAACTCTCAATATACAATGGCGATTTTATATGTTTTTGAAAAAATGGAGGATCATACAATTTATTCAAAGCCGCCTCCGAACGGCCGATGGATTTCTATGAGGAATTTTCATTTGGCATTCCCTGCCGATTAGAAAAATTAATTTTCTATTATTTTGCATGTTGGTCGGTCCAAGACCGGAATCGAGGTCTTCAGAATGCATGCTAACAGCTCGACTATTACGGACGAACTCTCAATATAACAATAGATATATGCAATAAAAATAAATATAAGAATAATCACTGCATATAGCTAAATTTAGACTGAATAGAAATGTAATTAAGGGTGTAAAGCGAAAATTTTCTAATGGTCAATTAATTGTCCAAAGGAAAAAGGAAATACATACAAGCAAACATATGTGTTTACATATCTATGAATCACTGAATAGTTAATAATTAACTATAGCGCAGCTAGAGAAACTCACCCTCTCCAAAATAATATCAATTGTATTACCATAACATTTCTATAGATACATTAAAGAGGCGTGCGAAACATTTTATAAAAGAAAAAAGCCATTTAGACAACAACAAAATGTTTTGTTGCACAAAAAAATGCAACATCAGTAAATTAAATAAAATATGAACACTCATTAAATCCCCAATTACTGGTGTTATGTGACGGATTATTAAACTGACTGAAACAAATCACCGAATATGAAATAAAATACGAGAGATCAAGTGAACTCAACCACAAAATTAGCGATATTATTCAAGCTGTACAAAAAACCAAATAAAAACGAAATTCAAAAAAATATAAATAAAAAAAAATTAAATAAATATAAATAAAAAAAAATTAAATAAATATGAAATATGTAGACAGGATTATATAATTATATAATATGTATTGAATCTAGCCTTAACAGCGTTTAAAAGATTATTTCGTATGGAAAAAAGCATACTAGACCCTGCTGTTTTAATATTGTGTGCAGTTTATCGTCGAAGTTGGCAGTTTTAACGGTAAATTAATGTTTGTATATACATACAAAACATCAATTGAACCAATGTGTGTGGCATCCCATATTAAAAAGCGATAACAGACTTGGATTTGTAATAACATTCGATGGTTAGTAAGCAGCTTATAATCGCTCAATGGCCTTAGTCAAACGAACTTTACTATATTTTCTTTATTTTTATTTATTTACTTTTTTTTGTAATACCCGTTCTACTTTATCAGCAAATAAACAGCAACCATTTGCATTAGCTATGCCGGGGTAGATAAGTTTAATGAAACCCAGCTTAGTAAATAATGAAGAAGAAATATATGGCATGTTGAGAGTTTCCACTATAAAAATAGCACAAACGATGGTTGCATTTGAACATACATACACATGTACATATATACAAGTAAGCCTGATTTGACTGAGGTTTGTATGTAGATAGATCTCTTCAATATATATATATTATATATACATGCAGCAGCCGCAATATTTATTACTTTTTTCACCACTCTTTCCACCGCAGTTCACATGTTATTTTTTCTTTTATTATTAATTTTACTGATTGTTTAATTTTTAATAATTATTCAACCTGCTCTAGAGGTAAAAAACATATTTTCTTTTAAAGTGTTCGATGCAGTGCCGTTTAATCAAGTGCATATTAGAAAGAAAGTATTTAAATGTAATAGTTGATGTATCAGTACAATAATAATTTCAGAAATTGTAATTGTTTATTTCTCAATCTTTTAGCATTATGTGAATGCGATTTTACAATCATAATTTATTGATATGAATATTGTAGCTACATTCGAACGGCATACTCATTAAGAGTCCTCCAAGATATACATATGTACATATATGTGCATATTTTCCCCGATGATTTGACTCTTAAAAGGGGTCAAAGTAACGATAATTTCTTACATAAAAGCTTATCTACGCTTAAGGTGGCAACAATCGCAGTAGGTTTGTGAGCTTCAGCTGTAATCGAGTTTCAAGAAATGGATAAAGTTTAATATTTTAAGAATTCGAAACGTAATTCGAAACCCAATCCACAAGTCAATAACAAATACATATGTATATGTATGTAGCTAAAGGCACAATGCAACGAGCATATGACTACAATATCTTTTTTTTTCACAAATATGCGAGAAATTTGTACATGCAAACAAACGAATTCCGTAAGTAAACACAAATGCACATAATGAGGGTCCCAGCTCAAAATGGTCTACGTTTACAGATTTATATGCATATAAATATACCGCACAAGTCAGTTACAGACCTTAGTCATACCAATTATTAGTGATGAGTAATGAAATATGACTGTTCTAAATATGTATGTGGATTTGAAGTAAGATGCATACAACTGTACTCACGCATGGTAAGCGCGAAAAGCTAATTGAATTAAATTTTTAAATCAGTTTAAAACAGTTTTGAGAAATCAAAATACACTGAATGGAAATCAACATTTAAACATCGGCTTATAAATATAGAACAAAGAGTTAATAGCACATTTTATAGCCTAAAATAATCAAGGGTTATCAGCTGATAGCCGTGTGCTATTTCTTTTTTTATTTTTTTTTGTGATAGCAAAAAAAAACCTAAAATAATAATGCATCGTCTAAACGAAAACCATTCGTCAGTCACAACAAAAGCAGAAACTATATATATATGTATATAGTGTAGCTTCGCAAATGAATATGCTTATCAAAATGCTCCAAACAAATAACAAAAACCAAAAAAAAAAAAAAAAACATATGAACGGTGTACATATACTACATAGGCGGCTCTTGAGCACAACCGAGCAAATTAGAAAATTATAAAATAAACGAAAAAAAAATCAACAAAATTAGTAACAGAGAAAAAAAAATACACAATCATGAAAATACCTATAAAAAAAACACAGCATTTAACCAATGCAGCTGCGTCAATCGACGCAATCGCCGGCAGTACGATTAGGAAAGAAAATCGTTCAACGGCAGGTACTACAAAATGAGAATTCTTTGTTTTCATACGTATTTGTGTCTACATGTGTGCTAATACTTTTGGCAAATGTTATTGCATCTGTAGTCGTTGCTGTACGTTCTTCTTTGTACACAACAGTCTACGTCTACTTTGTCCACTGCCAATTGAATTTTACTTTTGGATAGCATACTGCGGCGTAGGCACTGCTATATATTGTATTTTGTATTAAATTCGTCGTTGTTTAGGTATCTTGGTTATTTATTTTTGCTTCTTTTCACATTGTTTGGTTTTCGGCCATTATGGTATTCTTTTGCGTTTCACATAAAAAGTTTTAACACAATGGAAGAGAGTTGGGAAAGAAATAACGCTGACATATCACTCTGGGTACTTACGTTAGGTTCTTACACCAGTAACTTGGACCCCAAGTGCATTGTTTAGCTCCTAGCAAAGGCGTTGCGCTCACAAGGAAGGCACCTGAAATTGATAGAATATTGTAGAAAAAGAATTTATAGCTGCATAAGGAAACACACACACCACTCACGCTGTAGTAATGTCTGAGCTTGACAAATAGATATGTGGCATAAAGTGCGCAATTTTAGTGCAAAACACAAAATGTAATTGCTATTTTTCAACTTACCAGCCAGTAGTGCGACTGCTGCGCAAAGTACAAAATTACTTTGCATTTTTTTGGGCGACTCTTTCTACTTCCCTTAAATTACTATCGATTTTCTTTCTTTATAATTTCACCTCTTCAGTTAAATTCGCTTAATCTTATAAGCAATAAAAAAATTAAAATTTTTATTTACGTTTTTATTTCCACGAAATAGTACCTTATTGAGCAAATGATAGAAGATGAATAATCGAAAAATGCAATGTAAAGCAAATTGATTATTTTTTTTTGGTTTATTTGACAACTGTTTGACAGTTCACGAGCAGCTTAGCGACATCTATTGTAAAAATGTGAACAAGAAGCAGACTATAAGAATTTCAAATGTTGGTAATCAAGAAATGTTAATAATAAACATTTGAGTTTTATTAACACAATTATTTTATTTGCAGTTATTACTCATTACAAAATCAGCGGAGAAAACAACATGAAGCACAAAAATGGATTTTGTTTACTACAAAAATTCTTATCAAAGTATTAATAAACAGGTGGCGCTCCAGTCGGTAAAACGAAAAAAACGAAAATTTTTAGAAAAACTAACTGTGCTAACCAAAAACTGCTTCGAAAATCATTTGTGGAACTTGAGTGGAGTAGGAGTATTGAAACTTGTGAGCTGTATTATCGACGCTAAGCGTTTATGAGATGTTTAAAAATTTTATGGTCACGTATAGGTGACGCTAACAGCAATTTGACGTGTCGTGAGCTTTGCTTGCTTTAACTAACTCGACGAAACATGTCTAAATGAGTTGTTACACGGTAGAAATCGTATTTTTCGGTAGAAAGCTAATTTGCTAGAAAAAATAATTGTAAATTTTGTACCTTTATTAAAACCCACAAGAAAAACTAAGCAATTGAGATCTATGCAAACCTGACCTTTCTTTGCGTTGCTTTTGCAAAAGAATGAAGTGATTAGAAATATATATAATTACAAGAGAAAAACCACAACGAAACAATAAAATCTAATACTTTACGCTTTTCTACAGTCTCAGCGAATAGAGGCAATTCAATCAATTATGAGCAATTTGCATTTTTTTTTTTATAAAAATCATTTAATCGTTCATTGTTTTCCGTTGTGCTCGCGATGCGTTCTTATGTTTTTAGCCGTGGATGGAGCAATGAATTAGCACACAATTGTAGTGAAAAAAAATTAAACAAATTAACAAATACACATACTCACATACATACATATGCACAGTTAGATGTATAAATGATATTTAGCTGAGTGCATTGGCAACTGTTTGACTTTGCCAATTTTTTCAAAATTTTTTTTTTTACACGGCGTGATTCTGCAATTGTTTGACTGTAATTCTCATTTCCATTAGTATTGAACATCATTTTTCAATTTTTCATCACTTTTGTTCACACAATGACAACCATTCGTCATTTGAAATTCTTATTGTAACGCCCATTTGACATAATCGCTAGTTGGAAATTTGCAAATTAATGGGCATAAATAGATATTTATACAGATGTCAATAAAAAAATAAAAAATTAAAAAATTGATACTTTAAGACACATAAGAAATTTGTTTGTATGTATCATATAAAGTTCCAATAAGCAATGGCTATTTAAATTTTCATTACTAAAAATGTTAATTAGGCTCAAAACGTATTCTGCTTTTCATCTATCAACTTTCTAATTAAAATTAATTTCAACCTTCAAAAAAATATTTTTTTTTAATTTATAGACAAGCTTAAAATATTTAAGGATTGTGAAATTAAAATTTTAAATTTATTTTTTTTTTGAACAAAAAAATGAGTAGAGAAGAATAAATTAAAGTAAATAAAATAAAGATTAAATAAAATAAAAAATTTAAATGCAGCGTAGTAAATGAAACATAAAAAATGAATACAACAAAATAAAGCAGAGAATTAAATAACGAAAAGTGAAATGAGAAATAGAATTAATCAAAATTAAATATCATAAAATAATTTGTTTTATGAAATGAAATGAAATAAAATTAAATTAAAAAAAAAAAATAAAAATAAATAAATAAAGAAGAAAAAAAACTAACACAAAAAATATAATGAAATAAATTAAAGAAAAAAGAATAAAACATGGAACTGAAATGAAATAAATTTAAATTATATAAATAATAAAAAGAAATAAGATAAAATAGAATTGAATAGAGTTAAATTGAATTAAAAGTAAAATATTTATAATAAAAATATCACCCTCGTTGTTTCCAAAAAAATGGAAAAAATTACATATGTACATATTGCCAATGGTTTTTTTTTTTTTTTTAGACACACTCAGAGGCTATTAATCTTCAAGACGAAAGTCCATCCTCCAGGTGTAACATTATAAATCTCTTCTACTCTGGTGTAATATATATATAATATATATATGGCGCTTCGTAACCGCTGAACAGATTTTCGGCCGAGCTCCTCCTCCAATATGTGGTTTTACGTATTGATGTTTTTCAATGGAGAGACCAGACCTTCAATTTATACTAAGCCGCCTTCGAACTGCTGATGGATTTTTTATGAGGAGCATTATTTCATGTCAGGACTACACTTTGAGGGGTTGACATTGAACCCATACATATGCAAAGGGCGGTTATAAGGCCATGTTCAACAAGCATCCAGAAATATAACATACATATGAAGTTGGCATGAAAAGATGGGGCGACTCAAAGAAGCTTTCAAGACCGGAGCAAACTTTTGTAGAAACCAAGGTCGTTGTCCACCATATCCAGAGTGTACTTGGTGTATGGAGGGAACACCTCTTCATCTTACTAAGTTGCAGTCAAAATACAACACTCGGAAGTGGTCAACACGACGTCAAGATGACGAGGTTCGAATAGCGATTGCTCGCATAAAGGAGCATGCCCGACGATAGGAAACAAAATGTCTTCAGGCGAATCCATAAAAAAGGGGACGCCCCGACCTGCGCCAGTAACAGCGAGATGAGCCTAATAAATATCGCATATACGATGCTGCGAGTACCCACATCACGGCCGCCTGGTTTTCCTCAATCGACTCTAAATGGGTTCCTTTGACCTCCGATTTTGTTCTAGGGAACAATACGCTGCGATCCCTTTAGAGGCCAAACACTGGGACACGCTGAGCGCGGTGTGGCACGGCACGTTGTTGTGATGAATGATCCAGTTACGACGGTGTTTGAGCGCACTCTGTTGACTCGTTTTTGCAATCTTTCGAATACTTGGCGATTGTAGACTTAATTTACGGCTTGCCCCGGTGGAAGAAATTTTTTACGGACGATTCCACGGCTAACAAAAAAAGCAATAAAAATCGTTTTCTTCTTCAACTTGCTCATGCGAGCTTTTTTCGGGCAGGGGGCTCTACTAAGAGCACTGTCACCATACACTTTTACAATTTTAGCGTACGTTTCCGAAGCCATTTCCGAAGCGATTTCGCTCAATTTGGCACAAAATTTTATCGCGACGCGTTGCTCTTGATTTCGTTCTTCCATTTTCGTGACGAGCACCACGAACACACGTTTACTCAACACGACACAGCAGGCGAAATAAACAAGCATACAAGTGATGTATGAAGCGGCGCTAACAGCTTGCCGGCTGAATATTTTATAAAGTTGGGAGGGCATGAGGTCTTTAGCAAAATGCGACCGAGAAATGGAAACTTTCGACTTACTCCTTCCCTTGAGAAGAATGGAAGGATTAAAGATATCGCTATTCATACTGATGGGTCTAAATGTGAGGTAGGCACAGGAGCTGGGTTCTTCAGTGATCATGCCCATAACCAAGGTAGCTACAAATTCAATATCTACAACTCTGTATTCCAAGCAGAGATTGTGGGTAGGTTATCACCATCGACTGCCTCAGACCCTTCAACGTCTTCAAATGATATTTAAAGCTGTGAACCACAAAGGAAAACTTAAGGTCTTGGAACCCTCATAACACAAGGCGTACCACTAAATTACATATTGTGGGTTCGCGTGAATAGTACAAAGACTAAAATGTTACTGGCACTAAGTTAAAGAGATGGATGTATTAGCGGAACATCTACCCCTCGGATCTCCATAAGCTAGATAAAGTGGAATCAGCATATACAGAGGTTGATGAAACGCTGCTCAGGCCATCAGCCTTGTTCTTTTTAATCAACCAACCAACCTACCATCCATCTTTTCTCCCGAGTGACAATTATAAACAATTTTCGGGCGTGAGTCTACCTACGATTAAAACCCAAATCGCCGTTTCATCATGTTGAGAGTGGAATTTTGAAATCATTGTCGAAATGCAATAACTTTGGTTGAAATAATATATGTTTTCGTCTAATACATTGTGTTGCCTAACCCTCCGTATGTATGTATGTAAGTTTTGTTTCAACGAAATTACAAAAAATACAAAATCTTTTCGTAATTTATTATGCGGTGTAATAAAAGTATGCTGCTAATTGCTGCCGATATGCATGTTTCCAAGATTCTACTTACATCTACGTGCGGATTGACAAAAGTTCGGTAAAATGACCAGAAAACAAAAAACAAAAAAAATTGTCCTTTTTTATCTTCCCTACAAAATCGCCTTTGATTTCAATGCACTACTTAAGCCTATATATCCACTTCTGAAAACTGTCTTCCAAATCTTGCTTTTCAAGCTTATCAAGTGGGCCCTTTTATTCACTATTATGTGGATTGTGAATAGAAGAATGTTTTAATTTTAAATGAAGAATTTATTGATTAAATAATTAAATAATTAGATTTAACAAGCTTTATCGTCAATTATGGTTACCTTCCGCTAAAATGGTTCGCGTCTAAAAGTGAACTAACTACTGCTTAGCTTCATGGCTACTTATTCAAGAGTTGGGCTTTGCAGACGTAGTTTTGTAGTATGGTAAGGGTTCCCAACTCTACTGCTAGTTTTCCCAATCCCACATTAATAACGAAGATTTTTTTAATTTTTGGAAATAACCAGAAATCACCAGGTACTATATCCGGGGAATATGGTGCTGGACGTATTTCTACGACCTCAGAGATCGCAATAAAATTACTTGTTATTTTAGCAGTGTGGGGCGTGGCGTTGTCATGATGTAAAAACTAGCGCCGCAAATACTCTTTATTCCTGTTTTCCAATAAATTCTTAAAAACTTTTGGTAAGCACTCTTCCGTGTATCATTTTCCACTTGCTGACCCTTTTCCAGTGGATTAGCAAGTACGATTTTAGATCGGATTAAGTAAAC